CGACGTGAACGTGTACTCTGGGCCGCTCTTGGTCACAATCTTCAGATCGAATGTGCGGGCTGCAGTGGCACCCATGCTTGCACCAACTCGAGAGAAGACACATTGATGAATGTCGGATATTTCGATGAGAGTCGGCTGTTTGGAAACAAAGAAGATGTATTTCTCCAGCATGAACAAGTCGCCTTGCACGGCCTTGAGATTCGCTTTGATGCCTGGGTGACCATCGCGACTAAGACAGGAGTTAGCCATACTCTAAGCGCAAGACGACTTGCTCACCTTTTGAATGACCCTAGGCTGATGATCTTTTTCTTGGATAGAGCACGGAAAACACCTGAGACAACCTCAAAAGTGGGGTCTTCATAGTTCTTTTTCAGTCTGTCGTACTTCTCGATGTCTTCCCTGATTTGCATATGAGGCATGATCATGTTGTGAATATCGGTGATTGGCTTACTCCGACATATTGAGCTCCGCTGTAGTCTCCTCTTCCCGGGCAAATTGCATAACAAGATAAGAATATCTCGTCTGTCCTTGCCGAATGGGCGTGCTCAATCCCAGCTGTAATGATTTTAGTCAAAGGTCAAAATGAAGTAGATATGACTTACAATGAAGAGTACGTGTTGATCATCTTTGGGTAGGAGAAATAATCGAGCAATGCTGGAATATAAAATTTTGTAGTCGTACGTCTTGCCACGAAGACGCAAGAAGTCAAGGAACATGTCAACGTCGTATCGTCCACGAGGGGTCAAGACGAGAACTTCTTCGAAACTCAGGACCAAGTCCCCAGAAACTTGACCAATGTCTGCTTTGTCTTTGATGGCGTCATGGAATGCCTGTGCTGCGCTCATTTCCTCTCCCTCTCCCTCTCCTTCCTCGTCATCGGATTTCTGCGAGCCAGCGTCCGACCCTCGGGCGCGAGCTTGCGTACCAGGGACATAGAAACGAATCTCTACCATCTCATCTGGTGCGCTGCGAGAAGGTTTCTTTCCAGACGGTGTTGATGGGGCAAATTCTAGTGAAACTTCAGTGCGACCAGCGATGTTGGAGTTTGCTACTTGGCTCAGAGGGAGTTCAAAAGCTGTCTTGTTTGACACGAGGAATGCCAGATCTTGCCCTGGAATAGATGTTTGAGATTAAATAAAAAGACTTAAAGCACGCCGCACCTTGGATGTCCGTTACACCCCAATTCCAGCCTTTGAATGTGACATCTCTGACTTCTAAGGTCACCCCAAAGTGCTGTTTGAGTAGCCCTGCGAGCTTGTCGTGATCCTGCAAGACTCCTTAATAGCAGTTCATTGCTGAAATCCTGCACCAACCTCCCGTAAGAAGCCATCAAAAGTTTCTCGCCGTCTGTCCTTCAAGCCTATTCGCAGCTGAAAGTTCCTTGCAACACGACACCATTGGGCCCATTTGACTTCTGCAGACGGTATCGCAGTTACTGTATCATTCTCTTCGCCCTTCCAGGCCATTCCACTTGCTGCAACACGAAATTCTGGCAGGCACCATCAATACAGGATGTGAGATCAAGGGGAAGTCTCCTTACTCCCAACTTCAGATGAGAGGCCATAATAAATTTTATCAAACTGCGTCGTCGCCATAGCGGACAACAGAAGGTGCCAGAAAAGAAGGATAGTACTTGGATGGAATTATGCAACGTTGAGACTCGACGCGTTTTGAATGACAAATCATCGAGATCGCGTCTTGAAGTGTGTTTCCATATATATAAGCGAACGCCCGAGTCGATAGTATCATCATACTACTACTTTGGTCTACCCAGGCTGTTGTTCTCCACTAAGCATCTCTAGGAGTACGCCTTCACGTCGAGCAAATCAGCTGGCAACGCGATCTCTTTAAATTTCAAGTGCTACTCACCAATACACAGTGAACTAGCTGTCTAGTGTCAACTGCAATGGATTCAACTCAAGAAAGAACCTTCTGCAAGTGGTGAGCTACCTGACAGTACACTGCCGTTGATGGAATAACTTATGTTGCTATCTAGGCTGAATACCAAACTTGAAGCAAATGGTTATCCACCCATGCACTCGCTCGTCCAAGACCTTTCGGACGGTGTGCGCTTAATCCAGCTCATGGTAGGAGGGACAATCGTCTTCTAGCTCGAGCAATCATGATTTATGCCTTGTCTTGCATAGGAAATAATGGGTAAGGTTGTATGTCATTTTAATTCTATATGGTGTGGATAGCTCGCGTGTTGTACAGGTGATACATCCCTCGGAAGATACAATAAGAACCCCCGGATGCGCGTCCAGAAGGCAGAGAATGTCAACAAAGCACTGGAATTCATACGACAACGCGGTATCAAGTTAACAAATATTGGCCCTGAAGGCACGTTGCACAGTTCGGTCTGAAGGAACTCAACCAAACTGTTGGACTCTAGACATTATCGACGGCAACTTGAAACTGATCTTGGGTATGATCTGGACCTTGGTTTTGCGTTTTACCATCGCAGACATCAGGTAAGGCAACTCGTACAAGAAGATGCTTCGTTGAATGTGACTATTTCAGTGAGGAAGGCCTTTCAGCGAAGGAAGGCTTGCTGCTTTGGGCTCAACGCAAAACTGCGCCTTACAAAGAAGTTGATGTACAAGACTTCTCCATAAGTTGGTCGGATGGGCTGGCGCTGTTAGTACACTCCCTGACTGCAATCTGCCTCTGACTTACTCTTACTCGTTCAGCTGTGCATTAATTCATTGTCATCGCCCCGAGCTCCTGGATTACGACAAACTTGACAAGGCATGTAGCAGTAGAGGCATTCATAAATATCGTACCTAACCGCGTTGTTCAGTCCGATCGACACGGTAACACTCGCCTGGCATTCCAAGTGGCCGCAGACCATCTTGATGTTCCGGTAAGCTCACACTAGGCAACACTTGCAGAGGTGCTTACTTTGCCTATGCAGCAACTCCTTGAGGTAGAGGACCTGTGTGATTCGATGCGTCCAGACGAACGCAGTGTCATGACCTATATTGCAAGCTATTTCCACGCCTTCTCAACGATGGGTACGTTAGAAATTAAAATTGCTGTCACATCATATACAGCTCATTGCCTGGATAGATCAAGCCGAAACTGTTTCCAGACGTGTCGAAAAATTTGCTGAACTGATGCAATCCGTTTGGATGAGCAGAAACGACTACGAGCGTCGAGCTCGCGCTGTACGTCTACCTACATCGCTTACTTCTCATAGCTCACGCATTCTTTGATTTCAATAGCTCCTACATGCACTTTCTGAGGTCCAAAAAACATGGTCAACTAGCCGTTTCACCGGATCATATACGGATGCGAAAGAACAATCTGCTACTTTTACAACTTACAAACACACAACCAAACGTACATGGGTCATAGAGCGACAGGATGTCACTACACTCCTTGGCAACATACAAACGAAGCTTCGGACTTACGGGTTGAGAGAATACATTCCTCCTCTCGGTCTCGCGCTTTCGGTGGGTATTCGAGATGCAGTGTATTAATTCTGTGCCTGATTATATACATCGAGTTCTAGGACCTCGACGATGCTTGGAATGACCTGCTTCAATCTGAAGCAAAAAGGTCACGGTTAATCAATGCACAGATACGACAGTCAGTTATACGTTTTCCATCGCTCGTTGTTGATGTTCAATGAGTAGCTCAGGATAAAAGAGTCGTTGCGAAAAGAATTTGCGGATCTAGCTAATGATTTCTCGCAACGTCTACACACCATATCATTGGAACTCTCGGGTGTCGCGGGGCCGCTAGAGGTCTGTATCCAACTTGCACATAGACAGAAGCTTACGTATAATGATATAGACCCAGCAAGACCAGGTTAAAGAAATTCAAACCCGCCTGCCGACGTTATCTGAAGCCCTGACGCGCGTGGCAAAGGCAGAGCAAGACTGCGTCGTAGCAAACGTAGAAGAGAACGACTACACAGTGTTTACATGTCAAGACCTTGAGTTTGAACTGGGACTTGTGGCGCAAAGCCTTACGAAGAAGATATCTTTTATTGACAATCAGGTCAGCATCTCTTTGACCACATCCTACTTGACTAAATGCAGGGCAGATTGTCTCCCGAAACATGACTAACCTAACACCTGCACAACTGGAGCAATTTGAAAGCACTTTCCGGTATTTCGACCGCGACGAGACCAACACACTGAGCTTGACAGAGACGAGCGCAGCTCTCGCTAGCCAGGGTCTTGTGTACTCGGTGAGTGTATCATGCACTGCATAGCTACGCTGCTCATCAAGCCATTGGACGATTAGGATGAAGACATGACTTATATTTACGACCAGCTGTTACAAGACTATGGCGCAGTCACTTTTGAAGCCTTCATTAATCTCTTGGTGAGCCGACTCTCCTTCGACATCAATGGCATTCTTACAGATGACTCGTGAAAGGTCGACATAACGGAGGATCAAACGTCACCAGAGCAACTGCGCGAATCATTCCGTGGAATCGCGGGTGACAAAGTACGTGACTTTCACTTGGTGACTTGTGCGCTGATGAGATTCATTTCTGCAGCCTTTTGTGACTGAACTCGATTTGCGCCTGGCTCAGTTACCCGTAAGTGCAGTCGACTACTTGAGTCAGGTGATACCGTCGACAAACAATGAGGTGGGAGAACCCGAGTATGACTATGAGACTTGGCTCCAGGACGTCTTTGCATAGTGTGAAACAATAGACCCCCTGACTCTAGGGAGTAGAGAGGGCTTTGTGGGTGGGCGTTGGAACTTTGAGCCCCCCTAACATTGTAGTTACTGTCAGCACACGAATTTAGAATCACGCAATACATCTGAACTCCACAGCATTGCAATCGTGGATCATTCCTGCTACTGACGCGCTGTTGTGTCTTGTCTGGGTTAAGCAAGGTTCAAGATGACTTCGGCAGCTGATGGCATAATCCTAAAATGTACAAGCTGTTCGCTGTTTTCACCATGTAGCCAGGACAGCAGAGCCCAGATCAACCCGGTTTGATGTAGATCCAACGAAGAAAAGACAGCATTGTCAGTTAAAAGGAGACAGCGCATGCATTGCGTTACAGTGATATTGTATGCATTCAACGCAGTAGCCTAGGCCAAAAATGTTCATCTCGAACCACTCATGGCCCGATTCGTTGGTTCAACTATTGGCAGGGATTTATCTGACCAAAGACAGACTTTGGTTGATAAGCTCCTCAAATACTTACGCTCTTCCGGGGTCGGAGTGATACTGATGGCACCTTAATAAGACTCAGTTCAGACGTCTGCTCTTTGCTTACAAGACACATACCAAGGAGATCCTGCAGGTGCTTCAAAGACGTGGTCCCGACGATCGGCGCCGTGACGATGTCTTGTGCCATCGACCAAGCAATGCATCCAACGCCGAACATAATCAGAAGACAAGAAGTGACAAAGACAAATAAATCAAACCTCGAGTGTCGGAAATATCTCTTGTTCCAAGATATGGTGTCACTTTGCATTACCTGGACTGGAGGTGCATCAAGATCAGAAACATGACAGATTGGCTGTCATAACGTATATTGATAAGCCCAACATGAAGACATGATGTACCGGACGTAGCCAGCTTGCATGACATCATGCAGAGCTTGCATCTTCTGCAAACCGTATTGCATTGTTCCCAGAATGATCTTGGAAACTTTGAGAATTTCCCAGGCAAACTTCAAGTCAATAGTAGCCAGTCCATTGACAACCTTGGTAAACGAACGACTGATAGTGCCATACCATAAGGCATTCCCTTCTGCGTGGTCGACATACTGGCTGGGTTGGGGGCAGTGAGGTTGTTCTGAGAGCTTAGAACTGACACATTATGGGCTACAAGGACATTGGAACATTATCATCGAGGCGCAAAAGTGGCAAGCCGTTCACGGGATCTGACAGATATGATCGTCTTCAGCCAGTTTGTGGGATATTAAGTTCCATTAAAGTTGCTTTGTCTGTGGATCAAATACAGCACCAGATCAATAAAATAACAGAGCATACTGGTCAGGCAATCGGATGCCAGCAAAGTCTGTGTAGTCGCTGATGAGGAGCCACATGCACTATCAAGTCAGAATCTGTCGGGTCGTGTTGACGTTGAAATGTCACGGTAACATGTAGCCTCGCCAGATATCTTCCATGAATGATTATAGTGCTTGATTTATGTATAATTCGATGTGACAACTTGAAGCAAGGACAACTTGAAAGCCACTGCCATATTACTATTAGCGGAGTGTCAATCAGGTCACGACTGTTTGTTGGACTTGGTAAACAAGATAACCCAAAGGCCTTAAGCTTGTCATGGCACCTCATGCCTCCCCTTCTGTTGCCCCTCCAGATAGCCGACCTACAAAACGACCTCGTTTATCCAAATCTACTCATCGCGTTCTTAATGTTTGGGCTCAGCTCGCCGAACGCTACAACAAACGTCTCGACGAAGATGATATTGTCGACCTTTATAGCGGCACCATAATCAGTGACAGAGGAGTCCTAAAGAACGGAAAGGACTATGATTTTGGTCATTTTGCTTCCGATGATAGTCAGGATGACCCAGATCAGGAGCAGGAGCAGGAGCCCGGCGAGCAGGAGCAGGATGATGACGTCGATGAATTGGACACTCTACCCGTTCGGCGCGCGCCCGACGGTACTATGGCATCAACTTCTGAGTTGCTTCGTGCCGTGCCACCTCTTTCAGCAACAACAGACACTGACGATCTCAATGACTTTTTGGAGGCTGAAAAGAGACGGAGAGAGCTGTTGGGGGATGAGGACGGTGATGATGACTTGTCTGTGGAAGAACTAGCTGTGATACGAGAGGCTTTACACGAGTCGGAGGAAGATGAAGAGCAACCGGAGACCGTTGATCCAGAAGCCATAGAAGACGAGTCTGAAGATGAACTTAATAGCATATGGCAGCACGACGAGGCTAGTGCTGTGTATCACATCCCCCGCAATGAATCTGAACAGGATTCTGCGGAAGGTGAGCAAAAAGTCCTAGAGTTCGCTGATTCTGACGAGGAGTTTGCTGCGCTCCTCGAACGACCACCACAAGCTGGAAAGCGAAAGCGAAACTCTTCACCATCATTTTCTCTACGAGGATCTTCTCCATCTTCACACCGTTATACATCATCTGAAAGCACTCTAGGTAATGTAGCTACTTTTATAGTCTGCACAATCGCTTACCAACGGTCTACTTCGCAGTACCTGATACACCTTCGACTACAGCAAGCACCCGTTTCGCGTCTCGTACGCCGCAGACTCAAGTCTACCCATTTGCTACCCCTTCCATTGATCCCACCCAACCATCACTGCGGACTCAAGTCTACCCTTTCGCCACCCCCTCCATTGATCCCACTCGACCATCGCCGCGGACTCAAGTTTACCCTTTTGCCACCCCCTCCATCGCTCCCACTCAACCATCACCGCGGACTCAAGTTTACCCTTTTGCCACCCCCTCCATCGACCCCACTCAACCACCACAACTCCTTCTCTACCATGCAATGCACCAACTATCATATGCTTTGTCCGCCACGATGTCGACATATGGCTCACCTCAAATGCCTCCGCCATCGACAGGTCCGTGGGGTGTGTACCCCCTAGGTTTTGCGCATCCTTGGGGGCCACAAGGGACGTCTGAAGCATCACACTCTTTTAAGCTGGACGATAATGTACATGACGATGGACGGCCAGACGATGAAAGTACAGTCGTGGACCATGATGGTGGTGCACTAGAGAATGGCAGAAGGCGGAGGCGGTCCACAAGTCCCATAGGTCCAAGGAGGGATGCGAGGAAGATTGAGCGCCGGAAGTCTACCCGATTTTATGACGAAAAATATCAGGAACAGCGTATCGTGGCGAAGGGACAAACACCTGGTACTCCATCTACTACCCGTAGTCTTACGGGGTCCACTAACACGAACAAGAAGAAGGGGAAGGCAAAACGCAAGTCGTAAGCTGTATGATCTTCATCCCGTTGTGTATTTAAGCAGTATGTATTGGACATCTTGGGTATGAAGAAAAACTATTAAAATCTGTTGTACTGTTAGTATCTATTTTTGCTACCTTCATCATATACCCTCATAGATGGTGATCAAGATTGATACAGACTTGTAATAGTACGTAGGAGAACCAATGAGGTCTTTAGCGTATCAATATATCAACACCCACACTTGTCTGTCAAGTAGCATCTAATAGATAGGCGTACACACGTGCGTATAATATGTTTGGCTTCCATTGTTTTTGCATTGTTTAGACTTGGCTTCAAGCCTTATCCAACTTCCAATTTTATTCCTTACTCTTACGCCAGATTCCCGGTGTACGATGGTGCAAGGTATAATAGGAAGTGTAAGGGCACTGGCTATCCGGGGGTGACTTCTGACGAATGAAATTGATCTTTGCAGGAGCTTGTTAAGCTTATCAAGAGCGACAAAGTCCCAGACAAAGGTGTCGCTGGTTCCAACTACAAGATCAGGGTCATCGTTGACCTGATAGTAACATAGATTACCTTATCGTAGATGTTAGAGACGATGATTGGAAGGGAGGAAATATCAAAGGCTCCCGAAATCACCCATCTCAAAAATTCTTGTTGGAGGTTGATGACCTTGTCGAGGGGACGAAGAATGTACCGATTACGATCTTCCATTGTGCACTGAGTCAGGAGCGGTATGGATAGTCCACCTGATCTTCCCGATACTTATTCACCGCCTCTTGGACAGTGGGCCAAAGGCAGCCAGAGTACGTTCATTCCTCGAAGCGATCGCGTCATAAAAATTGAGAACAGAACAGATTTACGAAGAAACTCGCAACGCTTTGCATGATACGAATCACACTGTGTACGTCCTTCAAGGGGGCTTCGTCCAATTCGGGCAGTCGTACAAGGTAACGTTGCATCCTTGATTTCAATCAGAACCCACCACCAATCAGATATTTAAGGACGATCCAGAGTTGGTGGAAAACTGGAGAGAGATCATTTGGTAGAATCAGCTAGGGTCCTGTGTCGAGGAATTTTGTTCCAAAAGGGTTAGTGCTTCCCTTTCTTATGCTTCTCGACTTCCACCGCTTTCGTCTATCGTTTTGTCTTTCTGCTTGATGAAGCGTTTTGGCATCTCCTCAACAACCTTTTGGAGCTTACGTCGCTCTGCTTCAATATTCCTCTGGCAGACAGTCCTTTGCAAGTCGATCAGTGGGAATATTTGGTGCGAATTTACTCAGAGAACATACCACGTGCCCAAGGAGACAACCATAAAAGTCCCTACTGCCCAGTGTGATCCGACGAGAAACCCTGGACGAATGACGTCGATAACAGTCAGTATAAACTAGCAGACAACGTACCAGCACTCATTATACGGATGACTCCTACTCCAACACCACTGGCAATACCACTCATAAGACTGTTCCGAGCACATGGCATCTCCCCAAGACGTTGAAAATCATCAGCTATTGATATGCGCTAGCTTCGCAAAGTGTTCAGTTGCATAAGGGTTAAATACCTGGCGAAGGCGCACCTTGAAAGCTTCTCGCGCATCGTGCCAAAAGTTACCAGTTGATTCAACCTTGTAGACGGGTCTGCGTGATCCAGAAGGTTGACTTGATGCAACTTGCGTTCCCTCTCCAGAGTCAGAGGACATGACGAACGCTGAATATTACTAGGTTATAGGCTTATTGCAACTTCGGCTTACAGCCGATTCAGAAGCCGCTGGACTTCTCACGGCTAGTTCCGCCCAGAAAAGCCAGTTTGTTCCGCCTTCTCCCTTTTCCTTCAGTTCACGTCTACATCATGTCTCTTCCTCAACCAGTTCCCCCTTCATGGAAGGTATGATGCATATCGCGACTGCCGGCGGTCTTTTAGAACTTACAGTATTTGAATGCAGGACCTCGGAAAGTCCTCTAACGACTTATTGGGGAAGGACTATCCTTTCCATGGCACATCTCTGGAGGTCAAGACCAAAACGCCATCCAATGTCGCGTTCAAAGTTGGTGGAAACAGGGACTCGAAATCTGGCGCCATTGCCGGGGACATCGAGGCCAAGTACACCGACAAGAAGAACGGCCTGGTTTTCACCGAGACGTGGACCACTTCTAACGCTCTCAAATCTCAGCTCGAGCTCGAGAACTACCTTGCCAAAGGCCTCAAGCTTGACATCGCCACGTCATTGACGCCCGACAAGGGCCAAAAATCAGCCTTGCTTAACGTGATCTACAAACAGTCTGGCGTCCACACCCGTGGCGCATTCGACGTGTTCAAGGTTCGGCGACGTTGAATTCCGTTGTTCTCCGTCTAATGTCAAGGAAATGTTAGGGCCCCACCTTCACCACTGACACTGTCTTCGGTCGCGATGGCTTCTTGTTTGGCGCTGAGACTGCGTACAACGTCACCGAGGGTAAGATCACTCGGTATGCCGCTGCCATCGGTTATAACGCTCCCGAATACGCCGTGACTGTTCACGGTCTCAACAACCTCAAAACTTTCACTGCGAGCTACTACCACCGTGTCAGCGCTGATGTAGAGGCTGGTGCTAAGGCTGTTTACGACACCAAGGCAACGACTTCAGGCGTTGCTCTTGAGGTGGGCACTAAGGCGTGAGTTTAAGACCACATGGTGTTGGCATGGTTGGTTGGAAATTCGCTGAACCTATTACGTATAGGTATCTTGATTCGGCTGCTTTCGTCAAGGCAAAGATCAACAACTCCGGTGTTCTCGCTCTTGGTAAGCCACTGCAGGTCTAATGATGGAGTGTTCTCTGACGACATTGGTAGGCTACACACAGGCCCTCCGTCCTGGTGTTAAGGCTTCCTTCGGTCTTGCCCTGGACACTCAACGCTTGAACGAAATCAGCCCCACTGGCCCAACTCACAAGGTACGCCCTTCATCGTACTCTCTAGTCTGCGTATTGATTATGACTGTCCATCTAGGTCGGAGCTAACATCGTGTTCGAGTCGTAAAGCTACGGCAGTTCTATAGCTAGTTGTGCCATTCCGCATCATTAATGACATTATCGTACTACGTATTGCTAAGTAATGCACTGTATTGCTTAGCCTATACTTACAATCTCAAACAAAATGATGGTTGCTATCAACTCGAACTTCGCATCCAAGAGTTGATCCATCCTGTGCTGGTACGTGGATGCATGATGTCATGGATTGATGCTCTGGCCGCGAGAGGGTGCTCCTGAAACAGCCGGTCTTAGTATAAGTCTGTACAGACTTCAGGTCTACGTCCGGGTACAAGTCTGTATGTTCTAGATTCATGAGACAACAAGTGCAAACAATAATGGGTGAGTGGTTCTAGTAGTAGTAGAAACAAAGAGATAGTGTTGTTGACACAACATGAGAGATCATTGATCTACAAAATGAAACAGCAAAAGCCTGCAGGAGATATATGACATCCATGGTGGATGGTCCTTGCCTGACTTGGACTCACCAGTTGCTGTAATCAGTGCAATCAAACAAAGATCTTGGTGATAAACAAACCCTTCAACCCTTCACGAACCCTTCACATCCAAAATATGGCTTGGTGCAGCCACACTGTGCAAATGGCTGCCCAGGCAGCCCCAAATGGAAGCTGCATCTCTATCAGGCTAGCATTATCTGTGAGGATGATGCATCAATTCTGCTAATTAAGTTAAATCAACAGTAACTAGAAATATATCAATGATGCTCATTAGCATAGTTTGTGATACATCACAATACTAACTAGAAGAAACTACTGCCTAGTAAGTGACCACATAGGACCGGTTCTTGACCGAACCGTTGGCCAAGGTTCGAGTTCGATGGCCTCGAGATATCGTGAACAGGTTCGGGTTCGGGCTGTCAGGCCTTGAACCTGTTCCGAACCGCACCGCGGCAACACTAGACACGACGCGTCTTGGATATCCATGTCAGGACGCGACTTCCTGCAGTTCTACTTAATATCTAAGTCTTTTCAACCATAGTATTGTGTTTATTTCACACCATTGTACAAGTCTTCATCCATGGCAAATAATAAACAAAGAAGCTTGTCATCAAGCTCCCGGCAGGAAAGAAACCAGACCATCTGGATGAGGTCCTCGAATGCCCGGATTCACTCTCATCCACCATTAACAATGACAAGGCGATATACCTTTCTGAGGCCGAATGGCTGTTCAGTGACGAAGAGAACCAGTCACAAGCCGAAGCAGTGAGGTAGAAGTTGAAGAACTTGGTGTCCTTCATGAAGGGGAAGATCATCAATTGGAGGATAGGTTCAACGTGAATGCGGCAATCCCACCCATAGTCCCAGAGTCGAAGAGCGCATTCCTTGATGTCTTTGCTGATTCTGCGGTTAACCATCGCATATAGGGACAAAGAAAGTTGTTTTCGGTGTGGCCAAAGGCTCGGCCAGTGTCGTCTGAAGGGCTTAAAAATGATTTCCTTTTTTGTCTCACACACGTGAAAAAAATCGCCAGTGACATTAGTTTCTCCAACGGCTGTAAGGATAGCTTACATCGCACTTACCACTATGTTCTCTTCCAGGAATCGTCCACCTTCGGATTTTCGCACGGAAAATCTTGGCTTACATAGGGACCTGATGGGCCGTATGCGATGGGAGGAACTGCACTGATGTGAGCTTCAATCAAGGTACCTTCACACTTGTTGCTGGCAGCAGCTTAGCGGACAGTTCTGTGCGAATCAAACCAGCATGTGACACGCCAGTGAAGCCCATGTCAGGAATGTGCCTTGAAGTGACATACACGCCTGGGGAGACATACCATTACGATGCGTGCGTATAGTAGAAAGATATAAACTTTTAAAATCTCAAATAGCTTTTGCAGCTCTGCTTTGGAATTCGCAAGCTGCGTAAAAGTTTGATCAGAAAAATGCAAAACATGGCATTTTTTCACTCACCAAATTATCCGCCCCCATTTTCGAGTTCAAAAATACCCTGTTGCACTTTAGGCGCTTTGCTAAATCATAGTGAGAATCCGTACGGTGTAGCCCCAGGGCATTTTGTCCAACAGTCTGATTACGAACAAATAAAAGAAGAAGCAGAGAAGTAACCAGGTACAACATACCATTAAGAATGTCAACTACGAGACAGTCTCCAGGTTCGGCGCCCTCGACGGCAATTAGACCGAATAAATTATGAAGGCTGATCAGGTTCATCGTCTCTGATATTATCGCTCGCTCACAAAAACAGTCGCATCTTACTTATATGATGCCGAAAGCCCGTATACGTACTATCATTGTTATCGAATTGTGCTCCTGTCTAGTCAAACATTCGATATCGAACATCTGTGCAAATGATTGAACGTAAGACAGGTGTATGCATACATCCAAGGGCATCATGACACACCTCAGATTTCACTGTGACAATAGCAGGAAGCAAATGCTGCAATTACGGTGAAACGCGGAACAAACCTTCTGCTCTCTTGCAATTAATCGACAACATGAGTTACAATATATGAACACATCAACACAAAGCCTACACGAAAGGATCAGCCTCAGGATGCAATACTCAATCGTCAACTTTCGCAGGTGAACAGGACGCAGCTGCGTACCACAACCAAGGTTTGGGTGAGCTACGGAGTTCGCGACAGTTGCCATAGGTTATCTTTTTTTTCTCTCTGACAAAATTTGTGACGAGAGGGCTGAGATGAACATGATTGGAGTCGATAGCATATAATGGCTCCTGATAACACCAGCGAAACGCCATGGGAGCCACATAGGGTGGATATCCTGTAAGCATACGTCTTCGTGTCTCATGCAAGGCTCGATTTTGGATCAGTTAGTAACATCACAACGGAGCAGCGTAAGCCGAGATTCTCACCTGCTATCATGCATTCGCTCTCAGGGGAGTTCATACTTTAAGTTGAGTCCTGAACGTGGGTGACAAATAGTATTCAATACAATTATTTCACAAAGACTCAAGGTTTCGGCCATGCTGCCTTCTTGAGTTGTGACGATCAAGTGACTTGCCACTAGTTGAAACAAGACTTTTACATCAAAACCAATGCAACCGTAGATATAGCCGTAGCTCCTAAAGCAGCGTAACCAGCCCTGTATGCTCCTTTGAGACTCAAAACTTTGAGAACCACGTTAGTAGTCACTAACAAAACAAGACATACGTGACATACATTTACCCATGTCCCAGCTCAAGTGTCGGAGACCATTCCAGAAGTGGAAAGTGAAAGGTGCAGCCAGGATAACCTTGCCAGTGTACTTCACGTAGTCTGGCAGCCCAGCAACGAACTCGACAATGTGAGCGCTATCGAAAGTGTCTGGAGCAACGAGGTATGCCAACGAAAAGCCGTATAGGACTGTATGATATCATGATTACACCACATTTCAATCATTCGTGAGGAATCGGGACATACGCGCGCTGAGTGCCCCGCCAGTTACACGGTTTGCAATTGAGCCAAGCCATGTCAGCTGAGGTTGGTAGATTGTGAAATGAGGGCTGGAAGGGCGTTTAAGACGCTGAGCATTCAGAATCTCCTCCGAAGCTGATGGAGGCAAGGACTGTATCTGCACACCACTAAAATGCATTCAGAAATGACAGTTCAAAATCACGACAATTATCCTTACCGCTTGGGAATCAAGGTACGCAAAACAGTTTGGTTTCTCCCTGTAACAAGTATGTAATCGTACCACTTTCATGAATTATGATGCGCACTTACCAATGACTGGAGCGAACGCCACTCTCCTCGTAGCAGAACCAAGCCCAATGCGAGCGGACATCATGGTGAAGGTGGAAAAGTGATTTGTGGAAACTAACGGCGATAGACGGAACCGGATCGTGGGAAATATATATATCGGGGTTTCCAGTGATCCCGTTTTGCCTGTGCAGTGTACTGTGTGGACCACCATGACCTCACCATGTTCTCAAACAACCCCATCATCTCCTGCTCATTATTTGGTGATCCCACCAGTACTACAGTCCCCTCCGTCACTTTCAAATCTCAAAGATCACCGTTTCAGCACAGGCAACCTATCCGTGACCACGCCTGGCACGCCAGGTCTTGAAAGTTCAGCATCATCGGTAATGAATCTTGATTTGAATGATGGCATTCTTGTCCATGAGGTAGACCCCGAGCTGGACACTACTCACAGCGAAGATACCACTGCAGTTGGTCAAATAGATGATGTAGCTGACGAAGGATCCAGGAAGAACCTGCGGGACCATCTACGGCGAACTTTGAGTGTTCAGAGGGAGAAATCAGGTATTTTCATCTTGATCAGTGCATACTGGCACTTCTGAGAGTGTTGTAGACGCAAAGCGAAAAAATGATGAATTTCTAGAAATCAGTTTCGTGTCTCCTGACACAAGTGAGTAATGTCATGATATATAGTCGTGAATGTGGAAGATACGGCCGGTCTGGGGCAGACTTCAAGTCTGATCACTCGTGCTGAGCGTGCACCCAGACGCAGTGGTCACAGATACAGAATTGGTATCTCCGCAGACCTTCATTCAGACCGGTCATTTCAGACTCGTCTTCGTATATTCATGTGTCTCAAATTTGATGTAGCTCTTGAAGGATATAGACCTCGAGAGTACTTTGTACTTACCGACGCTGGAAAACCTGTATTCACTAGGTGAGGCTATTGATGCATTCAGTGAGGTCCAATGATGATAATCACTGGTTAGTCGCCCTGATGGGCAGGACGTTGAGAATTTATCCTCTATCATGGGCATAGTTCAAGCGCTTTTGTCAGTCTTCCTCGACGATGGCGATAAGCTACGCTGTATAAATGCCGGAAGATTGCGGATAACCTTTCTGCTTCGGTCCCCCCTGTATTATGTTTGCGCATCATCGTGGGGTGAGCCAGAGTCTGTCGTGAGTGGTGGCCTCGTGTTTTGTATATTTATTCGTGGATCGATTAATTTGGACAAGAAAGACTCGCTCACACCTCGAGTATCTACATCTACAAATACTGAGCATCGTCACGGCATCCCAACTAAGACGCATCTTCGAGCGTCGCACGAACTTTGACTTACGTAGGTTATTAGACGGTACGATAATTCATCTTCATTGTTCCTTGAAATTTTTTGATCTTGCCCAAAAATTAGGTTCGGAACCATTTTTGTTTTCATTGTTAGGTCGAATGGAACTCGACCTTGCAATGGCGACTTCTTCCTTGAATTGTCTACAGTTGGACCAGAGCTTGCGAGCGCGTGTTGCTGAAGCACTGGTACCGACCTCAAAGATGAAGGTCAACCCTTCTGCTGCACGTGAAAGATCGAAGTGTTAATGGGAATTGGTTCCAGGATACCCTCTACATCATTTTAGTCGCACGGGGTCAGGTCATAACATTGGTGCGACCTAAAAAGCATTCAATACACCCTGCTGGTACGTACCCTCTCTCTATCCTGACGTGCGACCTTCATATATACTTGTTGCAGACATACACATTCTCGTCAATACCGTTTATTCTCCATCTATTGTCAACTCGCCTGCATCTGCATCATGGATTCCAGTTTGTCTACCGAAGTTCAACCCCGCTGGTTTTGTCAACGCATATATCACTTTTTTACATCGCCCTGACACAGACTATAAATTTTATCAGAGGACAACACTCGAGAACGACGAAAGTGCAGATATTACTGGCGCCAGTCATGTTGCCGAAAACAGTCATGGTGCCACTTCACGGCACACAACCAGGCTCATAGAAGATTCTGGCATTGGACTTGTGTGCATCAGCGGTGGGTCAGAGTTCGAGACTGTGCGAACATGGTGCGACATCGTCACTCAGGTGTGCTAGACTATTTACCTTAAGCTCATTCATGTCGCTGACATTGACCCCAGAAATTGAATGATGATGGATCCCTCGACGCGCTGGCCAGAGCTGTCGACTCCGGGAAAACACGTTACTTTGCCTCTCAGCTGGGGATACCTGGATTGCGTCACTTTGTTTATAAGTCGAGGCCGCATGTTCAAATTACCTTACCGGCTTTTGAGGAGCCTTATGATACCCTCGATTCGAAGAGAAGGTAATCAGCCCTAGAATTCTTCGTTTGCAGCGTGCTCAACCACAGAAAATAGGATTGTCACATTGTACCAGATCGTACATGACGCCATACACGCAAAATCTGGGCAAACAGGAAACCTCAAGCTTCAATACATTCGTACGGAAAAGGAAATAGTCATGGGTTGGGTAAGTGTTTGGCTGCTCAACACCGCTTGGTCTGATCTTGTGGCTTCAGATAACGCAACCGTTCGAACTGTATGTGGTTCTATCGCCACGGTTACCCAAGGCTGCAGTGATCAATGCTGCAAACGCAGTTACTCGGTGGGTGAAGAAAGAGGAAGGACAACTTTTCCTGAGGGACGCCCCGGTTTTTTAATTGCAATGGATGGGCGTACTGATGGGACAATACCCTCATTCATTGCGTCGGGTGTTCTTCGGTTAATATTTGCTTAGTATAACTATGAGATCTCTGCATCAATCTGATCCATCAGAAACATGACACAAATTTATGCTCATCTGTGGGCATTTTAAGTAGTGCGAGGCGTACTATCAGCCTGTTTTACCCATGTTCATGACAAACTACTAGCAGATGTGTGAGTGACACAGTTCCGGCCCCGTGATAACCGTGTGCGTCTTTACAATATTAGCTCACTCCGAATCGCCAGCCTGCCGGTATACGTAGGCTAACTTACAGTTCAATTGTGCGGGTACAACTTACTCAGACAACTGACGCGTCTCTCTGGCACCATAGTGATCACACGATGGTGCTGACGAGGTATCAAGGTGAAAAACATGTATAAAAAATGCTACCAACCTTCGGTCCTTCGCACAAATTGCAGTTAACAACACCAACCTCACTCGACTCTACAATCATGTCTATGACCAGCTTATGGGCACCCGTGCCAAAGCCATCATCTAGGCTAGCGCGATATCGCGTATTATCCCCTCATGCCGGCGTCCATGTCTCGCCATTGCAGCTCGGTGCCATGAGCATCGGAGACAAGTGGGAGAAATTTGGGATGGGTAGTATGGACAAGACATCCTCATTCAAGCTCCTCGACGCCTTCTACGATGCTGGGGGAAACTTCATCGACACTGCTAATAACTAGTGCGTATCGTGTTGCAGTCACCTTGAATTCGTTGTCGTCCCTGAGTCCTGACACACTTCATAACCTCTCAGTCAAGATCAAAGGTCTGAAGAGATCATCGGAGAGTGGGCAGAGGAACGGGGGATCCGTGACCAGCTCGTGATCGCTACAAAAGTAACTTTGGAATTTTATGACTATAGTTCGACGCTGATGCATATTTATTGAAGTACACGACCAATTACCAGCGCGGCAACGACGCCATTCGCCAGAAGGCATCATATACCGGCAACAACGTCAAGTCAATGTACCTCAGCGTCGAGGCCAGTTTGAAGAAGCTGAGGACTTCATATATCGACATTCTGTACGTGCACTGGTGGGACTGGGATACTTCCGTCGAAGAGGTCATGAACGGTCTACATGTGCTGGTGCAACAAGGCAAAGTGTTGTATCTCGTGAGTGTCCCCATTTCTATGCTGACAGGAACATTCGTTAACGTGTATCGCTGGCAGGGCATCTCAGACTCTCCTGCTTGGGTCGTGTCCAAAGCGAACCAGTATGCTCGGGATCATGGAAAATCACCGTTTGTGATCTACCAAGGTGCTTGGAACGTCATGCTTCGGGACTTTGAACGAGATATCATACCAATGGCCCACTCCGAAGGTATATCAACCTTGTTGCTCGCTATCTGGTGCCTCCACTTACGTTCACCTCTGCATAGGTCTTGCGCTTGCCCCTTGGAACGTCCTTGCCGGTGGAAAAATTCGAACCGACGAGGAAGAGGAGCGCCGTCGACAGACAGGAGAGAAAGGTCGCATGCTCACGAATCCCAGTTGGGAACGCAACGAGACGGAGAGGGCGATGAGCGCAGCGTTAGAGAAGGTCGCGAAAGAAGTCGGTGCTAAACACATCACAGCTGTGGCCATTGCATATCTTATGCAGAAGACGCCCTATGTGTTCCCGATTATTGGTGGGCGAAAAGTGGAGCAGCTGGAGGCGAACTTGGAGTCTCTGGCGATTTCGCTAACACCCGAGCACGTGAAGTATTTGGAGAGCATCATTCCTTTTGATGCCGGCTTCCCCACCTCATTCATCGTGAGTCACATCGGCGCTCTGTTGTGTCAGATTACTGAGACCTGATCCCATTCAGGGTGATGGCAAGCAAAGCAGTTTGCTAATGAGCAATGCTGGATATTTCGAGAAGCAGCCGCAGGATAAACCCATAGTTCCAGATGTTGAATAGTATGGCAGTGCTTGTAATGTGCACATGTACCACGCCTCAGTATTCTAAGCTGATATGAAGAGTCACAACGCGTCCGTGCATTATTCTGAGGCCGACGACTCGGTGTACAGTTGTACACTAGCAGCACTTGAGCAAATTTTGAACTGGGAAGTCATATGATTGGGAATGCGATGTTTAACGCTTCTAATCCAAATTGCAGTATCAGAAGTTCCGAACAGGTGTGCTAGACTATTTACCTGAAGCTCATTCATGTCGCTGACATTGACCCCATAAATTAAATGATGAAGGATCCCTCGACGCGCTGGCCAGAGCTGTCGACTCCGGGAAAACACGCTACTTTGCCTCTCCGCTGGGGACACTGTAGAGTTATGATCATAACTTCGCACCCTTTTGGGCACTTCAGGCAGTCCTTCTCGGTAGCAATAAAGGTCTGTGAGACCCTATTTTTATGTTAGGATTATATGGTCTATGAGACCCAGTCTCGGGCCCGGGGATGATCTAATTAGCATGTACCAAATATACCTTACTTCCTCCTCAGCGCCTCCCTTGATCCTCTTGGCCTTCCCTGGATACCCCGTACGACCTCGCAGGATCCTCGTCAGTATCATCATCCCATTTCATTGAGCCTCTGAGATAGGGTCTATGGCGTGCCTGCCAGATACAGAGCCTCTGCATTCTTCATCTTCGACACTGCTTTAATTCGCTAAGTCCGTTTTTTTGCTCTACTGTTGCACTACTACATCCACCACCAAGCCGCCCATCCGCCCTACACGTGGGCGCTCGGCCAATATCTACGGGACTCAGATACCACTTCCTTAACAGCTGCAGTGACTCAACTCGACACTCGGGCGGGCATTCAGAGTCCGTCAATGAGTCAATTGAAGTTCCCGGTCTATGGTGGCTTGTTCAACTACTACTGGTAGCCTGAGCCTCCGAGTCCGAGTCACATTTGTTACCATTGCATTCTGCCTAGTACTAGCCATCACGGTAACTACTCCAAGTTTCAATTCGGATCTCACTGTTCAAGTTGGCAGATCCGAGTCACAAGTACAAGAACCGTCTGTTTGTACTACTTACCAGCACCATCAACCTAAAACTCAAGCCATACCGTCCGCCCGGTCTATCCGTGGTGCTCAGTCAATCTCTGTAGGACTTGGGTCACAGCATCACCCCTCTTTTGGTTGTAAGCCTTTGCATGCAAATCTGACCGCTTGTTCTTTACAGAACACCCACATGTCCTCGCCGACTATTGCTGCATATTTCACGCAGATCCAGGGGACCTGATGGGAATGGACTGACGAAGTTTGTGTTTGATGTGTCCGTCTATTAAGTTTTCTTTTTCATGCCTGCTCACTGATGTCACCATCACTTGCAGCCAGTCTCACGCGCTGCCTCGATCCATGGGTCATTGCATCTAACTATGTATCGTTCATCCGCCATACCACTCACGAGTCAGCTTCCGCCTTGTCAAGATATTACTTTCGACGTCGCTTTCGTGCGTACTCATCCTTTTCTTTTACATACGCAGTGACTCCTAGTTACACGCCTCATACATGTTTACCTTTCATTCTCCATCTCAATCAGCGTATTAATTCGTCTTCCCATCGAATATTCTCCTTCCGGAGTCCATCTTTTGATCCAAGACTTAGGTGAGCTCCCCGATTCGTCGTTCTACACACATTTCTCTGACTATCACCCTATCTAGTCCCTTCCCCGTTCCTAGTCCGAGCCTCTTCATTTCTTGAGACGCCTTCCCACAAACTTCGATGACTGTGACGCCATTAACTTCTTCTGCTCACCACATGTCCTCGAAGATGCTGAAACCCATCTTCATTGTGCATTCCTTTCGCCTCTCGATGTCTATCTCAATGAATTTAACGACAGAATTCTGGACAAATTGCTGGGCGACTTTCATGAGTATCATAAACAGACATTGACCACACACTCCACTCACGAGACAATATAACAGCGTGAAAAAGCCGAACGCACTCCATTGAACGCACCAGAACACACCCCCGACTACCTCGCAGTGTTGACCCATCCTAGAGTACCTCCTCATCGCCTAGATCTCAACTTGGAACTGAACTGCATCTGCCCCATTCAACGAAACCTCTGAGTAGAAAAAGGATTAGTCAGAAACGTGCGCGCGCGCGCGATTGCGCTCCTTCGTCGCTTTGTCAAAGTCCAACTCATCAATATATTCGAAAGCCACTGCATCTCCCGCATCAACTTCGTGTTCCATCCAAACCGTTCGTCGTGGACAGTCGATTGATGACAGTTTCCTGTGCGACCCGCGTATGTAACTCACTCTACCGCCAGTATGGTGAAGGATAAGTGAGTTTCGCTCCTATTTCATGGGCATCAGGCGTCGCTATACGCGTCGCTACCCTCCTACTTCTTGGGATCACAGCTCACCTCGATGCCCAGTTCGGACTCTTGCTTCGGACCGGAAAAGCCCTTAGTAGGGCTTGCGCCCAAAAGCACAAACATTTCCTTTCCCTCTACTACCTTCTTCGTCGTCAATCCTAACACCTGTTAAAGTCTTCTCCTCCCGTGTCACAGAAATATACGCGTCTCGTTTTCTGATATAACCGCGTTCCCGTTTTGACGCCAAGCAGACTGCAGTGCAGCACATAGACTGATCTTGTGGCTTCAGATAGTAACGCAACCATTCGAACTGTATGTGGTTTTATCGCCGCGGTTACCCAAAGGCTGCAGTAATCAACGCTGCGAACGCAGTCACTCGGTGGGTGAAGAAAGAAGAAGGACAACTTTTCCTGAGGGATGCCCCGGTTTTTTAATTGCAGTAGATAGACGCGCCGATGAGACTTGAATACTCTCATTCATTGGCGTCCAGTGTTCTTCGGTTGATGCTTTAGTATAACTACATACAAGATTTCTTCATCAATCACCCGGATCAGAAGCGTGACACCTTTAGTCTGACCTCTTTGTACATTTTAAGTACTGCGACGCGTACTAGTATCAACCTGTCTTAAGACTTACACATGTTCATGACAAACGCGCGCCAGTGAGTCACGGTGACTATGACTCCTAGTCGGTTCCGGCCCCGGGGATAACCGTGTGCGTCTTTATAATATTAGAATCTCCATTCTGCCGGTATACGTAGGCTGACTACGGTACAACTTACTCAGACAACTGACGCGTTTCTCTGGCATCATAGTGATCACACGATGGTGCTGATGAGGTGTCAAGGGCCCTGAACAACATGTATAAAATGCTGCCAACCTTCACACAAACTGCATTTCAACAACTCCAACCCACTCCACTCTATAATCATGTCTAAGCAAATGTCCTCGTTCTGGGCACCCGTGCCAAAGCCATCATCTAGGCTAGCGCGATATCGCGCATTATCCCCTCATGCGGGTGTTCATGTCTCACCCTTACAGCTCGGTGCCATGAGCATCGGAGACAAGTGGGAGAAATTTGGGATGGGTAGTATGGACAAGACATCCTCATTCAAGCTCCTCGACGCCTTCTACGATGCTGGGGGGAACTTCATCGACACTGCTAATAACTAGTGCGTATCGTGTTGCAGTCATCTTGAATTCGTTGTCGTCCCTGACACACTTCGCAACCTCAGTCAAGATCAAAGCTCTGAAGAGATCATCGGAGAGTGGGCAGAGGAACGGGGGATCCGTGACCAGCTCGTGATCGCTACAAAAGTAACTTTGGAATTTTACGAATATAGTTCGACGCTGATGCATATTTATTGAAGTACACGACCAACTACCAGCGCGGCAACGACGCCATTCGCCAGAAGGCATCATATACCGGCAACAACGTCAAGTCAATGTACCTCAGCGTCGAGGCCAGTTTGAAGAAGCTGAGGACTTCATATATCGACATTCTGTACGTGCACTGGTGGGACTGGGATACTTCCGTCGAAGAGGTCATGAACGGTCTACATGTGCTGGTGCAACAAGGCAAAGTGTTGTATCTCGTGAATGTCCCCATTTCTATGCTGACAGGAACATTCGTTAACGTGTATCGCTGGCAGGGCATCTCAGACTCTCCTGCTTGGGTCGTGTCCAAAGCGAACCAGTATGCTCGGGATCATGGAAAATCACCGTTTGTGATCTACCAAGGTGCTTGGAACGTCATGCTTCGGGACTTTGAACGAGATATCATACCAATGGCCCACTCCGAAGGTATATCAACCTTGTTGCTCGCTATCTGGTGCCTCCACTTACGTTCACCTCTGCATAGGTCTTGCGCTTGCCCCTTGGAACGTCCTTGCCGGTGGAAAAATTCGAACCGACGAGGAAGAGGAGCGCCGTCGACAGACAGGAGAGAAAGGTCGCATGCTCACGAATCCCAGTTGGGAACGCAACGAGACGGAGAGGGCGATGAGCGCAGCGTTAGAGAAGGTCGCGAAAGAAGTCGGTGCTAAACACATTACAGCTGTGGCCATTGCATATCTCATGCAGAAGACGCCCTATGTGTTCCCGATTATTGGTGGGCGAAAAGTGGAGCAGCTGGAGGCGAACTTGGAGTCTCTGGCGATTTCGCTAACACCCGAGCACGTGAAGTATTTGGAGAGCATCATTCCTTTCGATGCCGGCTTCCCCACCTCACTCATCGTAAGTCACACCAGCGCTCTGTTGTGTCAGATTACTGAGATCTGATTCCATTCAGGGTGATGGCAAGCAATACAACTTTCTATTGAGCAATGCTGGATATTTCGAGAAGCAGCCGCAGGAGAAACCTATAGTTCCAGATGATGATTAGTATGACAGTGCTTGTAATGTGTACATGTACCACGCCCCAGTATTCTAAGCTGATATGAAAAGTGCCAACGACTTGGTGTACAGGCTGTATGGGAAGCCATATGATCGGGAATGCGATGTTTAACGCTTCTAATCCGAATTGCAGTATCAGAAGTTCAGAACATAGGAACAGAAAATATAAAAGCTCCGTTGTTTTGTCTTTTGTCGTTATAAGTTATTGTGGTCGACATCGGTTAGCACCTGTTATGTAGCGTGACATCGGTCGCCGTCACGTTCATGTAAACATTCCTTTTTAGGATCACCCCGGGATAACTGTTTTCATTTCTTCAGCCGCCCCAGTGCTTCCTCGAGCTCCGAGATGTTTAGGATTTCGTTGTCCAAGGTTCCATTGTCTCGCCATGTGTTCCCTTCTATTCAAAATACTCAGAGCAGAACAGTTACAACAGTGAGATGTGACGTTCCCCGGAGGGCTGATATTCCAAGTCCAAGAGGTCTAATTGTCAAACGCCTGTTTTTACTCGTTATACTTACCAGCTTAGGGCCAGGCAAGATATCTACGCCGCAAGACTTTCTTAAAGCCATCGGTCGTTCTTCAGAGACCAAAATATCCATAGATAGCTGGGACGCGTTCTGGCGCACCTCAGGATGGGATATGAAGAATGCCGGGCTGAGCATCCAAGACCGGAGGTCTGTAACTCCTCGCCTATCTTGTTCCTTACCAGTGCATCATCATACACAAACACAGGTATATTCTTTGGTGCATGGAAAAGTTTAGGCAGAACAAGCCGATAGAAGGGTTTGCCCACGAGGAGAGACCCAAGAAGAAAATACGGGGGTACGTACAGCTTTAATTTTCAACAAGACCTGTCCTTTGTCTAATAATTATTGATTATTAGTCGAGGTCCCGCTGTTCAATTCGGAAAGCGCATTCGCTCGCGGAGAGATCGGTAGTTCCGTACCGTACTCCAGCGTAATTTCGCCCCAGATCTATTCTGAATTACACGCATATTCTGAATTATTTGACCACCTTTGTTCAAATCGCGTTCAAACTGCTGTCGGCGGCTACCGGTGACCCTCTCGGGTAAAGTCTTAAGGCTAGAGCTGTCCTTTGTTGGTCCAGACAATTTCCCACGAGGCATACTGGAAGTTTCGCTTTCTCGACCCCACGTTGCAGTGCACGAGTTCAGAAGTCAAGCCCGAATAGGTTTTGACGTTTTCTGATCATTGTTCACTTGCTGTGCAGGATACAGGGGTCCCGCCTGCAAGTTAACTGTACTACATCCTATTGCAAGAGCTATCGACGATCAAGTACACTTGCGATCTGCGTGAGTGTGCATAATGTCTATTCAACTTCCCGAGTAAGGGCTATACCCTTTGTTTTACTCCCAACGACGATTGTGAGGAATACACGTGGCAACCAGGGCGTACCACTTCGAACCGTCACATTCCCACCATGGTTGAATCATCTTATCTTGATCTAGCCGAGCATCAATTTTGAGGACCCTTTTGTTCTGTTCCGAGAACCAAGGGGTGGGCACTAGGGGTCTATATTCGGGCAATCCCTGGAGCGAGGCAGCCTCGATGTGACAATCATCGAGGGTTGAACGTCGGAGTTACTTGAAAGAACAAAACGAGGTTCGGTAAGCCGAAGCTGAGACATGAAAGAAAGAAATCTATATAACGCGTCCAACTCAACATCCAGTGCAAATCTACCGTACCCCAATCCTTGCGCACAAATCTATTTTGCCATGACATCCACTATCATCTATCGTCGTCAGTCTATGGCGACTCTCTATGACAAACTTCGCGCTCAAGACGGAGAGGATCATATGGCTTGGCTAGCCGAAGTTACCGCCGAGTTCGACACTGAAGAAATTTTTGTTCCTTCTGTCCCAAGTCCACCTTCGGTTATCTCATCTGGTTCATCTTCAGCATCTTCAAGTTCACCTCAAAACTCAACAACTTCTCTGGACTCTAATGATCAACCTGGAGGCGAATCCGACTCCGACTCTGATTCGGACTCGGGGATCGAACTCATTGATAATCCAGATGGGATTCTCTTTCAGTGTTATGACCCTATCCAATACAACCCCTCACACTTGTATGTTTTGGGTCTATGTCATGACTAGTCATTCATCTTATGCTCGTTCATAGTCTAAACCACAATCTCCATCCAATCGCGGATCTTCCTTATATCCCTCCCGTCGAGCTCAACTGTAACCCTCCACTCAACTTTGAGTGCGACGCAGAGTCCCAAAACGCGCTTACCATGGAACCCACTCCACCACCTTCCTTTATTCCTCAACCCGCATTCCCTACAGTAAACAACTCCCTGTCATTTATGACGCGCTCTACTCGTTCCTTCCTCAAGCGCAACGATTTTGTTGCGCCCCACGATTTGGAGGAGGATGCTGACGGGCAGAGTGATGCAGACGAGACAGATGATGAATATATTCCGTCATCTTCGCGTAATCTGAAAAAGCGTCGTCGTTCCACGCGTCATTCCAGCGTGTCTTCCCATGTTCCCACCTATACCACGACCCAATACGTATCGCCTCCCACAAAACGACTTCGCCCTTCCCCCCTTCCACGAAACGCGCAAGCTATCCCTGGCAGTACTCCTAGCTTTGCCAACAAATCTAACCCTTGGGCATGTCCCTATTGCAAGTGGGTTCAGCGCAACCATCGTACTCCCGACCTTAAACGACATATCCGCACGCATACGCGTTTCGAGAGACCTGCACAGTGGGTTTGCTGTGGTATACCCACTGAGTCGGCTGCAATGTACAACGTTCCGCACGACGCGACTCCCTACATTCACAACGGCAAACAAATGATTGGAGGATGCGGGAAGGAGTTCAGCAGGCGGGACGCGCTCAAGCGTCATCTGGGCAATGACCACATCTCTTGTGTGGGAGATATCGACGCGTTCGCTAATGTCTACGACGATTAATCACGAACTTATGAAACGATCGACTTTGTGGTGGCTGTCAAGATAATCTGACAGGTGAGCTTGATGCCCGTTTTTGTTGTGGAACCGTTCGCTCATGAGTCCGCACAGCATTTCCTTCTATGTATTATCAAGTATCTTATCATACCCTGGCCACAGCGCTTGTCTCTCTCATATTTGGAACTCATGTGTCACCCTTCTACTCCAGCTACAGCTGCACCATCTTTTCTGTACATTGCTTGTTGCGTTTCCTTAAATTCGTCAGAATGCTAGTATTAGTACATACTGTGTATGTACTTCCCATAGAACGACCGATCAATCACTCTCCTATCTGGTTGTCAGACTTTTGACGTCAGGCACTAGTTATTTTCTCTTTCAATCATGAGACGCTAGCGGCAAGGTACTGGCGAACAAGCTCGAGAAGTGGCAAGGGACGCAGTGGGCTGAGTATTACATAGATGACAAGATGGTATCAACCCCGTATATGTCTCAAACGCGGTGGTCGCTAGACGTCTGAGTCAATGGAAGGGTTTGCTTCATCTCGGTTCACAGCGTAACACAATACGATTAGCATCGCCGCGCCCTGTCATAAAATGGCCGAAGCCTGCAAAGCGCAGTGAGCCAGTGGGAACCTGGATTACACAACTTGAATGATTGGACTCGCGCCGTCGGCAGTTTAGTTCGATTCTTTTGACAGTCGTTCCTGTGGTCGAGATTAATTGCATTTTTCATAGTGACATACTCCCGCGGCGGTGCCGCCCCTGAAAACCCTAATTATTGGGCCCGCTTTATTCCTAAGAACCAGGGTCAGTAGATACATCCATATCAGAGCATGAGTGTGATGAAAAGACACGTTGAGAAAGGACAACCGACAATTTAAGTGACACATAGTCCACATACAGAAGATCATAGATCAGTCTTGATTCTCGAGTCACGTTGCACGTCTCCGTGGAACGCCAAACTACTCTTGTTTCAAGTAGTCAACACTCATGATGGTAGAGGGACTTGCATTCCAAAGAGCGTTCACACAGGAAAGAGCCGTATTTCAGAAAACTCAGTACTGGACGAACTGAATATTCATTCTGAGTGAAGGATTAACGTACATCATTTGCAACACATGGAAAACTGAACTTGTTGGGTCTGAGTGGAAAAAAAGATGGCATCAGTTTACGACCAACAAGCTCAGGATATCCATACCTATATAGGGAGGAGCTACGCGCGCTCTGGAGCATTTTTCACATCCAACCTCTGTCCCTGTATCCAAATGCCATGCCTATTCCGTTCGTCTCCAATGCACCACCACTTCTCCAGTACACCCAATGTGATACCTGACTGTGGCTCAAAGAAATCGAGCGCACCCACTCCCTTGTCGCTTTCTTTGTACAGTTCAACTGCAACATCATTCGTTTAGGTATGATTTCTTGTAGTTGTTGTTCAACTCACTGCATTGAGCGTCAAAAGGAGCACCAGCTTGGAAGACTCCGCAGGAAAGACCGAGTGCAGTGGCCCCTCCCCTGGTAGCCAAATACAATGCGTCTTTCCAATCGATTGCGAGAGACCGTCCATCACCGCTCAGTTTTCTTGGACCGTCTCTGATCCTGGAAACAGCTACAGCCTGCCGCATGCTATTCATGATATCTATGCTATATCCACCGGCGATATCTGTGCCAAGACCGACGGGTACGCCAAGGTCCAACGCTTCACGGAGCGGGAATGGCTTTTCCGAAAAGTACGAGTTCGAAAGAGGACAGTGTGCCACTGCGGAACAGCTGCCAGCCATACGTGACAGCATGTCTGTATCCAAGAATGTACAGTGGGCTTGGACAGTTTTCTCCGTGAGTAAATTGAACTAGGATTTGAACGTTATCAACTCGGTATTCATTAAACACGAGGATCACTCACGTTATCAAAAACATCGATGTCGTCTTTGTGGCGTTCGCTTAAAACCCACTGCACTGCTTCGTGGGCCTCCGCCAAGTGACTTTGGATTCGAACTCCTCTGTCACGAGCGAGTTTTCCGAGCCCTTTCAAAAGCTCATCCGAGCACGTTGGTACAAACCGTGGTGTAATCACAGGTTCAACGAGACGTCTGTGCGGTTCATAAGATGAAACCAAGTCACGACAGCCGTCGATGAATTCCTCGGCAGAGTGTATTGAAGATAGAGCGGAAGACTCCACGTAGGAGGGCCGGGACGAGATATCCATTGACAGCTTCCCTACGAGCGCTCGTATACCGATGGTTTGCATGACTTCTGCAAGGATAAGACTGTGATTCTTTCCAGTTAGCACGTCCGTTTGCGATATGGTGTTCCTGTTGAGCTTTGCGCTTACTTCGCTGTGGTGTTAATCGTCCCAAACAACAGAACCGCGCCAGTTCCGGCGTCTCTTAGGCGTTCTGCGAGACGTACATAAACTGCCTTTGCCAACTCTGGTCGGCTGTCCAAGCTTTCTTCAGACTTGAACGCATACTCATCTAGCCACTGCATCAAGGGAAGATGCAGACCAGTCCCCTGGAACAGGAACTGGGGCGCATGGAGATGCAGATCGCAGAATGTCGGAAGTAAAAAGCTTCCTGATGGTATGGTTGTGATAGGTATGTCGATTCTTGCTAGAAATTCCTTAGATGCTTCGGAGCCAGCAGGTCCTACATAACTTATGAAACCTTGGTGATCCACAACTAAGGCACGCGCAGATCGATCAGTAGTATGTCTCGACGATCGTACGATGGAAGATGAAATCCTCACGTAAAATATGATCTTCAAGAACTTCCAGTTGCCCCAATGAAGGGCAATGAACCAGAGTACCTTTGAAAGCAGTCACAATCGTCATGGTAGTCAACAACAATGATGTTTGTGACTATTCTGATGTACTGTTCTGAAGATCATGATAAGCCCATCCCTTGCGGGAATTAGCCACGTGCCAGTGTATAATGCCATAATGGTCCACGGAGTCTCAGTTCCGTTCACGTTTCAGAGCTCTCTACTCTACAAGCGTTGTTCCGCAACCAATCTATCGTTACATCCTCTAGATGGTCATCGAAGTCTCCGAATTTCTCGTGAAGATTATGGTCGCGAACAAGGCTAATTGCGCGCGTAGGTGAATCAGCTTTGTCTAGCAAAAAAATCGATCCCGTTGTGAATGCGGGACTTTGCGCTATGCATGGCCGCCAGAATGACGTAGAAGGCTGTGGTAGATATGGCTGTTACGTGTTAGATAGTTATGAGTTCATGATAATGACTTAAACATACGAGTAAAGCTGGATCTCCTGTTCCCAACTTGTCGCCGTCAATCTTGAAACAATAATTAAGTAGATAGTTTCCTAGTTGTAGTGGCTTATCCATCTACTCACAACAAATGCTACTGCATCGTTAAACTGGTCACGAATTTTCTGCGCGACCCGCTCGCCGACAGGCGCAAGAGCGGTGTCATCCAGCCTCTCGCTTGCTTGATAGTACCCCACTAGAGCCATCTCTTGTGCTTCAGCATATCCTTTCGCCTAGAAGCGTTACTGTCCATCAGTATCATGACGAACGTTGCGTTGACATAGAATGACTGTGACGTACCAAATCAAGTCCAATTTCCATCATAGGACTGAGGCTTGTCCAGTGATGGAGCAGTGGGATGACATCCTCTATCACTACCACGTCCGAGGCTCGTCTACCAAGTAGAACACCGTTCACTGGTAGGTGAGGATGTTTCGCCGCGTGAAAGAAGATCTTAAGGTACGCGTTTTCAGAAAGAGAGTAGGATACCATCGTGACGGTCGTATATTGGACGTCTTTTGAGAGTTCTACCGAGATTTATAATTAGTATGACGTGTCACTAGGCGTAATCAGAAACTTGACCGATGATCGTGTCTGCTACTTACTGAAGCTGCTTCAATAAAAGTACAGTGGAAAGGAAACGTGGGAGAAGTCGGCCGTTGCGCTCCCTTACAAAATCACACTTTACACCATGACGTCCAATGGCCCAGGGATATTCACCGCAACCTCAGCGTATTCTCTAGCTGGGGTGGCTGCCATGGCCTTCGTTGCCACCACTGGCGCAAAGATTTTACTGCCGAAGAACGCGCGCTGGCAGGATTCGTTTACTTTCATCTGGCTGGTTCGTCAGTCTACTTGCACATCAGACTTTATTTTGACAACATCGACAGGCATTTGATGCATTGATTCACTTCTCTTTTGAGGGATCATTCCTATACCTCTCGACATTTGGCAGGACCGTAAACTCCAGCGTGGGGCCATTTGCTGAAATGTGTGAGTGATCTAAGCTTCATGCTGGTCCTCAATCCTTAAACTAGATAATTGCTTATCTAGGGAAGGAGTATACCCGTGCGGATGCACGATGGGGTGTTTCTGATCCCACTGTCGTCTCCCTAGAGATTTTGACAGTCCTAGGTGCGGCACCTATGTGCTGCTACATCATAAGGCAAATCGTTAAGGACGACCCTGCCCGTCACTATTGGATCATCGTCCTGAGCACCGCTGAGCTATATGGCGGGTATGTATGTCGTTGCAAGTAACCTTGAAGTTAGTGACCCTCTTTCCAGATGGATGACGTTCTGTCCGGAATGGTTGACGGGAAGCCCAAGTTTGGATACTTCTAACCCGCTCTATCTCTGGGTTTATCTTTTCGTGAGCATTCCCCGTCTCGTACTATGACTATAAGTGTCTCACCTGATTTTGATCGCGACAGTTTATGAACGTTATGTGAGTCTAAGCATATGGTTTTATCGTTGTCAATTCTGATGCTTTATCTCAGCTGGGTGGTCATTCCAGTCTGGCTGATGTGGGATTCATACGGACACATTGCTGGCTCACTGCGCCGCGCTCAGACGGTTCCTAAAACAAAAAAGAACTAAATCCCCAACGCTAATGTACTTGGTTGGTATCTATGTTGCCCATACCTTATATTTATGACCTTGTGTGGTCCAAATCAGATTCCTTTGCTATTGATATCAAGTCAGACGATCGTAAAAATTAGTCGTGCACTGAAATGATTTGCGAACCAAGCGCAATGTTAGTAACTAGTAGCCCATATAGCGTGTACTGAAGCAACCTAATTCTATGTTTGTAGAAGGAAAAGAAATTCGTCTCTGCTTTAGCAGAATCAATCGAAAAATCAAGCGTAGGGCATCAAGTCCGTGATCAAGTAAAAGAAGTAAAGCTAAGTCCATGTCCATGATGTTATTAAGTCATCTCGAGTTCCAAGCTGAGTCCGACTGGGCTTAAGATTAAAGGCCCGAGGCACAAGCTTATACGATGGAGAACTCTGGAGAAGCATTTCCGGAATCACCGAACACTGAAAACATGTGTCAGAAATGCACCCAACGAAATGACAAGCGATACATACAGACAACGATAGCATTGCGGCGAACCGTGGCGTTCTCAGGAACAGTGATTGTAACTTCACCGCTGATGATGGGGAATTCCACAGCAAGGGGATGCTCTAAATTGCATTTCAACAACAGCATTCGGGACATGATTACGAAATGAACATACTGATGTCTAGGTTCTCGGAATCGTTTTCTAGATATCCCAACAATAGGAGACCAGTAGAATTCATTTTCTCAGCAGGGACTTTGTCGGTCGCCCAGGTCACGGTCTGCGTGGAACCACGGGGCCAAGATGTGAGAGGGGTAGGGCTAAGGATGGCAGGGCTCCAGGCGAGCAGTTCAACGGGATGGACAGGTGCAGCGGTAGAAAATGCCAACAAAAAGGCAGAAAAAATAGAGAAAATCGTCACGGTGCTGAACATTCTGAAGTGAAGTCGTGAAAAAAGAGTGGGATGTGGGCGGTTGGCCTGGTTTCAAGGCTTGTATTGAACGTGAGGAAACGGGAAGATTGAGGGTAGTCGAAATTGAAGTCGAGTATTTATATATGCGGCGAGAGGCTTGGCTCTATTTGTTGTAGCTACCGCGTGTGGGCCCGTGATTGAAACATATATATGATCGAAGACGTAAGGAAGATCTTGTTAAGAAGCTGAATGCTAACAAGACCGCTGTGGGCAGATGGGCTTGGGCTCACAATACCTCTAAGGATGGACCGTTCATATTCTTCAAAACACTTCATAAAAAAATCTGAGCAGACCTGGAACCCGCGGTAGTGACCATGAAGAAGCCCTGAACTTCTTTCCCAACAATATGATGATTGATGGCCGTACGGAACGGTGGCGGATATTAGCGGCGAGGCTATAGTCGTCAATATCTTGAACAAATTTCCCGTACTACATAGTAGGCACACCAAGGAAGATAATCGATCCACATAAATCGCTGGCATACGCTGTAGCTTGTGAGTCAGAGCAATGAGATCGTGAACCAGACAATCAACGTCGGACATCGGACACCGGGTTTACACTTCACCCAACAAAATAGTTATCCCACAAGATCTTGAAACGCACCGTTCGCATTTCCGTCATTCCATGGGTAATCTCACCCACGACCCGACTTACTGCTTTGTCGCCCTAAGCAGGAGACCGCGGACACACGAGGCACAAGCTGACGCGCTGCTCACACAAGGTCACATGTATTTCACGTGACTTGTCACGCCCAGTGAAAGTCGGACATACGGGTTTCCATGCACAACCACGCAGATATACTGGCACTTCATATTGCGTCGGTATCTGCGCTTTCTGTAGCTGCGAAAATCAACGCTGGTGTATGCTTTTCGATGCATTGACTACTGGATAGAATTCCATAGATTCCAATATAACTGTGTATCCCTTTGATATTTGGCTGGCTTCAACACAAATATATGGAAATTGATGCATTGCAACATGGCATACAATATGAAACATGCCAATAAAAACTACATCAGTAAATTCACACATTCCTTGTCTCCCTTTTCTGTCACTTGTGCCCAAAATTAGAAACTTAATTTAGCTTATTCAATTGTCCCCTGGTTTTAGCAAGTTACCAAAGTAAGCACATGATTTCAGAAGCTCCTGCAAGGGCAGAAAGGCATGCAAGTAGGGAAAGTAACAAAAGTTAACTGCACAGTGTAACAAGCTGCTACTAAGTTGTTTGCAAGTCAATAAGTACAAAATTTTATGGTTGCATAAGTCCTCTCTTTCAAAAATCCTTTTCCATAAAATGGTGATTGTCTTCTTTGTTGTCACTGCTTTCTTCCTTCTCCACCTTTCTTTCGGATAGGCGCCTTCTGTTTTGCCTCTCTGGGATGGAAGGTGGTATCATTGGCACAATGTCTGACTTGATGACATCTGAAGCACTTTCCAGTAGGGATCAGCAGGGGTAAACCTGCGGGTGTGCAGCCACCAACCTGTACCCGTACCTGCAAGATACCTGTACCCTTATACCCATGGGTCTCGAGGGGTATGGGTAGCTGGAGGGGTACAGTGTGGGTCAAGGGTATGGTGGGTATACATGTACCCACAGAACTGAATTGTATGCAATGAGAATACATCATGTAAATTACCCTAGTAAAATACTATCCCACCCATCCTGCAGCTCCTCCTCAGCTTCGATATCAGGCAAGCTAGCAGTTGAGTGAATGTCGTGATCCTTCACCAATCCTAGTTGGCTCCATAGCCCAACGCAAAGGAGCGCACGTGTAGTCTGTGCGGAGAGACGGCTTCAGACATGGGAGAGAAGTAAGCGCCCATGGCTGAAAATACGCTCAACGTCAACGGAGGTTGCTAGAATCATTAATGTCAGACAATATACTAGTGTTAAAATAAAAACATACCAGGGATAGTAAGGTAGTCCAACGCCATTTGAGAGAGTCGCGGGTAAGTCTTTCGGTGCCCACACCACCATGCTATCGGATCCGAAACATCCTCGATGTCTGCATTGAGGTAACTATTGAGTTCCTCAGCAGATGTACTAGTGGACTTGGGATGGGCAAGTGTGGGTAAACGGTCGAAGATATTTGTGTCCTGAGGGTTGATGTTAGCTGCGATAATGGAAATTATGTTAGTAGCACGCACCTCGTCAACCTCTGATACTGCTGGTGGCGGATTAGCATTGTTATTAGTAGGGACCGGTAAGTGAGACACATAACACTTGAATTCTGTGCAAACAAGGTTTTCAGCTGTGTCGATCCAGTCCTGCTGCCAGCCGGCAGACTGAAAATATGACAGCTTGTGCTTGTTACGCTGACTGTAGGTCGGCGTGTGTGAACTAGGATAGGTCTTCTCAGTGACGACTCGAGTGAGTCTACTGAAGCTGAGTGTGGTCTGGCCTTGACGGAACGTCAAGGATTCCTCCGGCGATCTCGGTAAGACGGCGCTCGTCGAGATGCAGGGCTAGCGGATACGTGCTAAGTCGTATGGGGGCGACTTAGAAGTGCGGTCTCACACAAGGAAGCTGGTAAGCTTAGATGAGCAAGTTCTGGGGATGAACCTAGTAGATTAAAGTAAAGTCTAAGTACAATAATCTGTGTCTACTTATAGGGAAGTACTACAAGTATTCTAGCTCAGTCTGTAATCAATAGTATATCGTAAATCTATGATAACAAGACATGAGGTTCAGATAGCATACATGAGGCTTAACCTCTGATCAAGCATGCTGCGCCAAGGGCAGCTGCGCATAGGTACAGGAAGCGCCAAGCGCGCTCTGGATCTTCATGAAGCGACATGTGGTATGCATGCGCTGATCTAGGGTGTGTTACGTCGACTGTAGGTCGGCGTGTGCGAACTAGGATAGGTCTTCTCAGCGACGACTCGAGTGAGTCTACTGAAGCTGAGTGTGGTCTGGCCTTGACGGAACGTCAAGGATTCCTCCGGCGATCTCGGTAAGACGGCGCTCGTCGAGATGCAGGGCTAGCGGATACGTGCAGAGGTGTATGGGAGCGACTCTGAAGTGCGGTCTCACACAAGGAAGCGGTTAAGCTTAGATGAGCAAGTTCTTGGTAGAACCTAGTAGATTAAAGTGAAGTATAATCTACAACAATGTGCCTACTTATACATAGTGTATGTAGGTGTTCAAGCTCAGTCTGTAATCTATAGTATATCGTACATCTAAGATAACCAGACATGAGGTTAGATAAAGTACATGAGGCTTAACCTCTGATCATACATGTGGCGCCAAGTGCAGCTGCGCATAGGTACAGGAAGCGCCAAGCGCTCCGGATCTTCATGAAGCGACATGCTGTATGCATGCGCTGATCTAGGGTGTCCATGAGGCGTACAGCCTCCATGGAACAGGTACACGGCCGTCTAGGCCAGGGGCGGGGTCATAGCATCAGGCGGGGTCATAGCGCCATGAGGCGGGGTCATAGCGGTCCAGACCGCTGTCTTTCTAGGCGCAGGCGGCGCACCGCCGCGCGGGGAGTCTAGCAGAGCGGGGGCAGGCGTAGGGAGAGCTGGGGCTCTAGTAGGTGTTACAGATCCCTGTAACAGGGTGTCCATGAGGCGTACAGCCTTCATGGATCAGGTACAAGGCCGTCTAGGCCAGGGGCGGGGTCATAGTGCCAGGGGCGGGGTCATAGCGCCAGGCGGGGTCATAGCGGTCCAGACCGCTGTCTTTCTAGGTACGGGCGGCGCACAGCCGCGCGGGGAGTCTAGCAGAGCGGGGGCAGGCGTAGGGAGAGCTGGGGCTCTAGTAGGTGTTACAGATCCCTGTAACAGTGCTGGGGATGGAGGACTACAAGATAATTAGATTTAGACTAGAAAACAACATAAAAACAAAAGACACACCCATAGCAATGTGATACACTTCAGAGGAGTCAGAACATGAGTAATAGCGGTTTAGAGTTCACTTTGCAAGTCCAAGAGCTGCGCTGATGGCAGGATCAAGGTGGTCATCCTGGACGATGCAGCTGGTGAAAACATTGTCGATATGATCCATGGCTGGGATGACCGTCGCAAGGTTTGGGGTTGCTCGTGAGAAGTAAAGTGTCGCATCCTTGAGTATCTGTGACTGTTATGTCAGCATGTGTTACTAGTGTCATGTGACCACATACCTTCAACACATCATGCAGTTGTTTCACAAGCATCCACTCACCATCTTCCAATGCATATTCCCCAAGACCCAACTTTCGCTTGTCAACGATGACATCAATCGCATTTCGGTACTGCAATGCGAAGTTCAACATATCAAACGTTGAATTCCAACGTGTTGAAACATCCCTTGGCATGATTTGCTGTGCAAGCTTCAAGTCTTCAAGAATGCCTTTCCACACAGGAAGGAGGATTGTTGTTGAGTGAACGATCTTGGTGGCGAGTTTTTGGAGCTGTGATGGGTATTAGTATACACCACAGGTGAGTCTTTTGTTGTTACCTTTACTAGTAGCAGTCTAATTGGCCGAATATTGGCTGCCAACTCCAAGCGCTCGTTGTGATTGAGCAGTGTCTCTTTGTTTACCCACCCATCATCATTATCAGTCATTCTCGGTGTCTTTGTTTGGGTCTTCGACCCTGTGTCTGCAAGTCCTCAAGTTCGATATCCCTAGTAAGTCCATCCAATTCTTCATCTCTCTCTCCACCCTCTCCAGCCTTATTTTTTGAGGTGTCGAACTCATGTAACAGGGACTTAGCAACAAGATTGATGATATGCAAGAAACATCGTGTGTGACTTGCCTGACCCGCAAAGTGGGGCACCAGATCTACGAGTTCTGTCACAAGAGTATCGTTTGATGATGCATTGTCTGCTGTCACACTGAGTATCTGTGTGCCATGCCACTGGTGAGTTATTCCTCGAACCGATAATGAATTTTTTTACCTTGTCTGAGATTCCGAACTGTTCTAGGACAGTTGCGAATGCCTCCACCAAATTAGCGACAGTGTGCGACTGTGTGTGCCTGTCAGCATGATTTCAATTGATGGTAAGTTTTTTACCTTTGAAACTTCAACAATGTCAAGAATCATAGCTAAAGGCTGACCTTCGTGCTCCAGATGGACTGATATAGCCACAAATGAACAATAATTCGGGGAGGTCCAGGCATCAGTTGCAAAATTAAGTTTGCCATCATAGTTCTGGTGAGCATTTGAGTTTGTGTCTTATCCTGTGCTAAGTTTGACTTACTTGTAACATGTTTGCTATACGTTTGCATGTTTTTATGAACACTTGTTTGATGTCGTGTGAGACAGTTGAAGGGATGGTAAGTAATACTCTGGACACCCAGTCTTCATTAGGGCATTGAAACCACAATCATTGACGATTTTGAACGGTCGCAGGCTCTCGGATACCCAACGCACAACCTCTACCCCGGTTATATGGTATCAGAGGTGTCTACTGTGCTTGCTCAAGACATACCTAGTCTCAGCACATGTATGCTGACGGTGTGAATAGGTAACCTTTCCCTTTCCTTTTTGTGTGAAGGAAGTTCTGATTGATCCAGTTTCAAGTAGGCTCTTGATAGGCCCTTCACATGCAGCCTCGGTGTTTCCTGAAGCCATTGCTGATTGTAAGGCAGGTTCTCCCCAACAACTCTTGACATGCTTTCACATATTGCCAGTTGATTTTGCATCTTTTTTATCAAGGTATCGTCGAACTTTGTGTTTGCAGCCATGCGCAGCACATTTAAAGACATGACATCGGCGCTTGTCGTGGTACTCGATTGCTGGTATTGGCTTGAAAAAGGCATAGATTGGTGATGTCCAATCTCGCATAAGTCTCTCTGCATTCATCTGTCATTAGATTTTGCATGACATGTTTCATAAGTACATACCTAGCTCAGTGTCTGATGATTCTGATGGATCCTCTTTAGAACTCTCTGCATCTTCATTATCGGCATCGAACTCAATTACAATAGTGTCTGCAACGTGGTGAGCTGCCTCCTCTTCTTCTTCCATCTCTACAGTAGCTCGATAACTCCGTGTTGATGATGGACTATTTCCATGCTCTATCTCTGTGGATGCCATCACCTTAGGCTGTTTCGATGTGACTGTGGAAGCAGGAGCCTTATCTGTAGTTTTTCACTTTGCTCGATTGCCTTCTGCGGCCATAGCAAGTGCCTTCTTAGTGGGCTTGGTGGTCCGTTTAGATAACATTTGTTGATAGGCGGGCACTGAGTGGATATAGTTAGATTAGACTCGTTATCAGCCTTTGTTAATTTGTAATGTGTATTGATCATGTGGTACTGTACAGTTATATATACAATCTATGGACCATGGACCGAGGGTCCTGTATTTGGTCCAAGGGTACCATGTTTGGTCCATGGGTCCCAAGATCCCTACCCATACCCATACCCCTGGGTACCACTACCCATGACCCCCAGGGGTTACCCATACCCCTGCTGATCCCTACTTTCCAGTGTGCATGTGTTCTTCTTTTTCCTTATCGGTGAGGCGATCTACTTCCATTGCATCGTTATCTCTTCGAGAGGTGTAACTGTGGTTTCCCCAGTTCTTCTTTTGCTGATGCTGGGGGTTTTCCCTTCTTTGAATTGCCCTCAGGTGCTGGAAGGCATTATCGAGATTAATGCAGGTATTTACGACTGTGTCAAAGTCATTGAGGGTTTCCCCGGTGCAATTGAGTTGGTCATGAAGTCCTCTGTTTAGTCCTTTGCAAAAGAATTCAATTCTAGGAGTGTGTTCTTTCATCCCTGCTTTGTGGGCAAGAATGCAGTATTAGGTCTGGAGGTCACCGTTCTGTTTGAGGTTTCTTATTTTGGTCATGGCGGTTCTGGCTGGGTCTATGGTGCCAAATGTGTCTCTGAATTCCGCTTTGAAGGAGATCCAATCTCCATAACCGATCACAGTTCCAGTGGTGTTCTTTCTGGAAAGGTCTTCTGCTGCTGTCATAAAGTCTTCTTTCCATGCGGCAGCATTTCCTTTGGTCATGTATGACAATGCGAAAATAACTTTCTTCTTATCGGTGTTGTAGATCTTGTCATTGATGTCAAGATAGACATTGCAATTTAGCAAGAATATTTCTGATTCATCTCTGTCTCTATCGAATTCTGGGGGGGCACTGATCTTGATTTCTACTTCTCTGGTGGTGGTAGTCATGGTGTTTGGTGGGTTTAGGTTAAGTGCTGTAGCACTCGAGCTTGTGCTAGGCTCGTATTAAGCTATTTTCCAATGCATGTCAAATGCCCATTGCACATGAATCACTTCCTGATGTTATCCGACACTCACCCGCTCAATCCGATGTTTATCTGCTGAACCCGACACTAATCTGCTAAATCTGATGCTAGTCCGACGAACTCAACGTTTCCCATCCATCGGACCCGATATTTTCCCATGCACTTGTCCTCCCTATGTCTTGTCCTGTCATATCTATCCCCACTAGGTGCACAGTTACTTGTTTTCACATCGCTAACATTGTAGAACACATTATTACATGTCCGCAGTACATCGTGTTTTATTACATAGGACATCGGACCCAAAAATCAGTGCTACTACTTTCGCCTATAGCACTCCGAAATTCTACATAGACACTATATATTTCGCATACCTCCTACCTATTACTTGACCTTTCTACCTCTGAGTAGGAGGAGGTCATCTGATAGTGAGTAGTTCTTAGCTGAATTCCGCAAATATCATCCTTTCTTTATCTGAAACATCTGACAGTAACCCGCCATTCGCTATACACAACATTCACTGCATTCCCAATGCTAACCTGACGCTAACCCAACACAACCCAACAAAACCCAAAAACATTGGACCCGATGTTTTTGACATCGGACTTGTAATTATACCTTCGGACTTTGTTTCCCATGCTTCGGACTATCTTCCTTTTCATATAACTGATTATTCTAATACCATACAGCAAACCCCTCGGGTCGAACACACTTGTCTTGCAAGTATAGCAGACTAGGCTATGCACGACTACAACATTTTTATATTGCTAAACACTTACTTCGTGTAGTGTCCAGCAATTGTTGTATCTCTACAGCGCTCCAAATGCTCTGATCAAGGGGCCGAGGGAAGTCATCTTGGTTCTTTCTGATTTCTTGTGTCACAGGTGGTGACACACAGTGGGGTAGACTTTAATCTTTTGTTATGACTGGGGTCGTTCTTCTTTACAATGACTGGATGGTCAAGTCGAAGTGTAAAGCAAGGTCTGCCTATGAATATAGGGTCAAGGTTTCTGGCTAAGGACAGTGTCGCTGACTGCCTTAGAATAGTGGTTCTTAGACAGTAAGGTTGGAGACCTTACTGAAGGACTAGTTTCCAGGTAGAACCCAGTAGATTAAAGTGAGGAATACAAGTGGTAACTACTGTGCTTAAATAGTCTGTATGGAGCGCACAGACCAGGCTAGGAAAGGTAGGCATAAAGTGTGTATCAAGATGGGAGTGGAGATAAGAGATAAGAGTCCTTATCAAGATAAGGGCTATGCATGATAGCGGTTGCTAGCACGATAGGAAGCTTTAGCAATCATATGAGTAAGGTACTGGAAGGTGATCCAACATTCTGTAACAGAGGGGGTCATAGACCATTGTCCAGTAATGGGGGAATCAATGGGGTCATAGTTTAACTGTAACAGTAATAGTGCATGCTACGATGTGAGTAATGTGTGAAATAATCAACTATGCACCAGTGGGGCTAGCAAGACGGGATGGGACACAGATAGGACAAGTGCGCAGGATTTTGGGTTGGCTGATGTGGCCGAAACATTGGGTCTGCTAGTCAAAGTGTCAGGTTACGTCAGGTTAGCATTGGATCAAGCGGGTTAGCATTGGGTTACATTGGGAAGTGAGTAGTGTGCGACGGGCATTGGATGTGTGTTGGGAAATAACAGAATACGAGCTCAGCACAAGGCTGAGTGCTACACCACACTTTTAATCATGTCTTGCCTTTCATCAATGCTACCTTGCTCCAACATGGCTGCATTGGCAGTTCTCCCCTTCATCCTACAATTGCTATTATGATTCACACCCTCGATGTCTTCCGCCAGACCCACTGTGTGTGCCCACATTATAGCATTAATGCAGAAGTGAAAAAGCTTGCTTTTCTTCACAACATAAGTCAATTCTTTTCATCAAAACCAATATTTGCATAAACTAGGTGTGTTATTGGCAGCACCTTGCTGAACAGCTACAAGTTGCCTATGATATTTACCTTGAACTTGAGAGGCATGTTGAAAGCCATCTTCAAGCTGCCCTCGGTCACGATACACCAAATTGGTGCATGCTCACTTCATGTCCTGCATGTCAGTACAAGGTAGTGGGTGAACCACCTCTTGAGTATTCGGTTCTATGCACCCTTGATGGTAATAACTCTGCAAAGCTCATCGACCCAGCCATACGTGGTGGCAATGAACACTTTGACCCGAGATGTGGCTTATCTTCAATTTGGCTCACTGAAACCTATGTAGATCAATTCAAGGACAAGGTTCAATATTCGTGCCGCATGCAGGACCAACATGTCTTGCATGATCCAGATGACCCTTGGATAGATGAACCCAACTCTGGAGACTCTTTGGAGCCAAGCACTGTCTATGTTGATTGCTGGTGAAATGCTGCACCTGAGTCTCATAAAAAGATGTTCATCATCTTCAAGAGATCTGGCATCTTTATTATTGTGTGTTGCCGAGAACTTGTCTAATCTGAATTTCAGAGCTGCGAATTCCAATAGGAATGGTTTGTAGTTCTGCTCCGTTCTTGATGTTCATTTTGATGTGAAGGAGATTGGATGAAGACACTCTGCCCATTTTCCTGATGGCTTCCGCTTGTGGACTCGTCGACTTAGTACCGCTGCAAAGCCTTCTTGGCATTCATCTGATGTGACTATGAAGTTTGATCCATTGTATATGGGCGCCTGCAATACTGGTCTTGAGATGAGGGCCGTTTTCAGATCTAAAAACGCTGTTGTGTGATTAGCAGTCCAAACCTCCTTAAGTTTGAAATCTCTTAGCGTGCGACAATATGTCATCTTTGAATATGGTGTCTTGAGAGGTGCTGCTTTCATGAGGTCATGTAATGATCCTTCTCTCTTGGCGTATCCCTGTACTAAGTCTCTGAAGTGACTTGTTAGTCCGAGGAATGACTCCAAATTGAGTGCATCTGCTGGCTGTTTCCAGTCTACGATGGCGGTTAGCTTTGCCAGGTCAGGTTGTACTCCCTGTGGTCTGATTGTTGCTCCTGCAAATGTTGTTTTGGTCATGAACAACCGACATTTTGTTGGTGACAAGGACAGCTTCTTCTCTCGGCACCGTTAAAAATACACTCTAGTTTAGTTAGCATTTCCTCAAATCCATCTGCTGCACATCCACCATCGTCTATGAAAAGTTCCATCATCGTGTCTGCTGTTAGGTCATGTAAGTGGGTCACTGTCATATCCGCGAATGTTGATGGTGCTCCTGTGAGTCCCATTGGCATTCGTTTGTACCAAAAGTATCCATGTCCTTCCACGTAGAATGCCATATAGGGTCTTGATTCTTCTGGAATCTCAACAGTGTAGAACCCCAAAGTGAAATCGAAAACAGTGTAGCACTTGGATCGGCGTTGGGCATGTATCCTGCCAACCTCATAGGTATCCCACATACACACTCCTCGACACTCCTCTTACCTTCCGAGAGTTCCGAGCACTCATCCGAGTCGTCCAAAGGTCATCTGTCGCTTTCCAAGGGCTGTATACACTTCTGATCCTCCATACCATGTCCCATCCGTGTCCGTTTGACTTCACTGGTGCATTTTTACCTTGTTCATTTATTATTGATTATGTCTTAGGGGCACATATGTCGTCAGCCCGTTGGAAAGCCTGATTACTACGTATAGCTGCGCGCCTCATGCACTATTACATGCATATCTTTGTAGCGACTCGCCTCAAGCCTTATTACATTTTGGATAGCTTATCTTGCTACTATTCTCGCCTATGCAGTTTCTGGACTTTTACACTGTAGGATATAATCTGCCTCGCTAGCTACTTGCACTTCACTTCACTTTCCCTGCTACAAGTCATAGTTAGTAGAGTCACTTTCGGATAGTTGTACTTCGCGCAATCAATCTTTTGTTCATTCAGAACAATTGTTTGGCTTGGCCGCTGCCATTTCGCATCTTGCTGTCTCTAAGTTCTTTCGATAGACTTTGCCTAGTCGTACTTCGCAAGTCTTATACTTCAACACCCTGCCGTACTTCTCTCAGAACCTTTGCTGTTCATTGGAAGCTCTTCAGATGCTTCACGCAACCTCAGACCTTTGTTTCTTGACGTCGGATCACCTTTGGACCACATCAGACGAGTACTTCTGTACTTTGGACACATCCTTGGAGCACTGAGTGCACTCTTGGTCACTTTCCCTTCTCTCGCCTTCGATCTTAACAAGATATCCCTTGCATTATATCAAGGAGTATTTCTATAGGCAGTCTCTTTGGGACGAACATCACACTCGCACATTGAGTTCAAAGGTAACAACATTTTCAGCACCTACACAGAATCAACTCTTTACAATGGACATGTACCTATGTCCACTCAAGCGTTGTTGCTTCGCTCGAATATCTCCCTGTGGCATCAGTGCTATGATGGTATGTCTGTTAACTTCATTAAAATTTTGACAGATGCACCATTTTTGCGGCCCTGCAGGTTGTTGTTCGGTTGGTTCATTTGGCACCTCGCATTCCGGCAGTGTGAATGCTGGAGGTCGTCCTTCCTGTGTGCATCGCTTGTTTACCTTATGTTGCAGTTCATCGATCATTAGCCCTTTCTGTTCATGTGCTTTTTGTGCTAGCACTGTTGCGCAGCACTTCACTGCATCCAGTGGTGCGCATTCTATAATTCCTGCCTCTAACATCTCATCAATTCATTCGTGGAGGAATTGAGTTTGCAGAGGGGTGAGTGCGCGCTGATGAACTCTAAGGTTGAAGGTTGTGCCATCTGGTATGTCGAGACAATGTTGTGCTCCCAGGACTGGAATGACCTCCCACAGTGAGCAGGCAAAAATGTCTGCATACTTTGCCACTAATGCTTCTGCTTTGCTCCGCTCATCTTCTGTGAGCGTGTCCCCATATTGGACCAACTTGACTATGTATTTGATCCTTCAAGGGTTCATTGGATCTGATACTCTTGTAAATATTGTCTTATCGTCCTGCATGAAGTTTGCCGGTATTGCCTCTGATGTTTCGCCTGATGGCTCTTGCGGTGATGTGTTGTCTTCTGGTGGCTTGATGTCATGTTCTTCTGTAAATGTTTGATCAGTGCGTCTATCTGCCTTCTCCTCATACTGGTTTGCTACTTCCTTTGGGGGTGAGTTTTCTTCTTTCCCATCTCATTCTTGCCCTACTGACCCTATGCTTTCTTCTTCTGTGTCTTCGATTGTTGCTGGTTTTGCCTCGCTCTGATTGTACAAGGTCTTCATTCTGCCTCTTCCCATTACTTGGACTTGATCCGTTGTGTAGTCATGTATTGCTTGGAACCCTTGCAACATTGGCTTCCCCAACAAGAAGCTCCATCCTCCCCAACTGTCAAACACCTCAAATTCCCCATCTGCTTGAACTCCTCCTATCATGACTTTTCCCTTTCATATTGCCTGTGAGGGTATGATCGTTCCATTTGCCATGCATAGTCATCGCATTGATGGTGTCCAGTTCCCTAGACGATGCTTGACCTGCTCGAATGTTGATGAGCACATTGCGCTAATCATGGCACCTTCATCGAACAGCGCCTTCACTCTCACTACTTTGCCTTGTGGTCCTGAGAAGGATATGTTCTGGATAAATGGGAGACATGTACATGGGTTTGTTTCCTCATCTGCTGAATACAAATTAACGACATCACATTGCTCGCTATTAGCTCATACAACATTGTCCAATTGGGGTGTGGGTTCAGTGGGATTAGGATATTGGTCCTCACGTGTTTCCTCTTCATGTGCTGTCTTGTTACTTAAGGGTCTTATATAAAAGTTGTGTATAATGACAACACAATCATACATGGTGAAGACTTCTTTCCAGTCCTTAAGTCCATGGTCTCCGACTTTTCTACTTCGTGGGAGGTAATGTGGTGAGTTCTTGGGAGGATTTAGTTTGTTGTCCTCTTCCTGTAATCTCAAACAAAGATTGTTCTGTGTTCTGGATGTACATTTAGGTTTGTTTCAGCCTAGTAGGTCGTGTTTCAACCTATGAAAGTCTGGTTCAACTTTGTCGTCCTTAGAATAGTGTCTCACTTTCCATTGAAAGAGAGAGTCTTATGTATATGTAAAGCTTAGTCTGAGAGCTGTTCAGTAGTTATATAGTCAAACCCCTGTAAGGTAGTATATAACTTAGAGTAGATAATGATATCTTAGATGTTACCTCAAGGCACTTATGTTAACCTGCACTTTAATTCTTAGTGATCTCACACAGTTTGAGACAAGAGTCAAGTGGGAGGATTGTTATTTCATGGAGAAAATGTGGTCATTTTATACCTTTTGGGAACCCCCTTACTGTTACAAGTAACATCAGTCACGTGGCCCCCCTATCATTTTCCCCTCATCCTCGCCCTCACCATCTACCGGCTCATCCTCCTTTACCGACTTTCCATTGACCGGATCCTCAGGACTGTTCCTGTCCCTCGCATCGTCCGCCTCTATGCACGTGCACGCACGTTCCTCCCCTGATTCGACCACCAATGTGGTCCTGCACCTATGACTCGGTCTGACTCATGCCACCAATGTGGCTTCCCCTTTTCTGTTCCTTCTGACTGCGGATTCCCGCATGTTGTATTCTTACTGTTGGTCCATTCCAACGTTTCTCGGTCTCATTCCACATTCGACCATCCATCACTAATCTGGCTCTGTTGCCAACGCACCTATACCATTCTCGTTTCCCCTTTACCCTTACCTACTGTGCGGTAGCCTTGCCCTTAACCCTCTCCACTTAGTATAAGTAGTCGGTCACCCTGTACTAGATTCTCTAACTTGAATCTACTCAATCTTCCCTGGAACATACTTCCCTCTGAACGCCCCTTTGGCTTCAGTCTCTAGTATCTTTTCTTAGTTGCTCATCACGACTAAGTCTACCTCGATCGACCTCATCGTTCGGACAAGACAGTCCTAACCTTGAGTGACTTCAAAGACATCTGTCTTAGAAGTCACGTGACACGCACGTACTGTGATCACTGCCGACTCATCGTCGCCAGTCTCACTTGCTATACCAGATTCTTCCGGTTACGTCACGAACGTTAGCGGACGACGCCCCTCTTAGGGCTCCGCCTAACAGATCTATTTGAGTGCGTAACACTTACTGAGCATGATTTATCAGATGGATTGGTAAGAATGTGGCTTACGATAATTGGCTCCTTGAACTCGTACCACCACCATGGTTGTTTTTTTCCCACGTAAAATTTTACGGGGCAAGGTCGAGCTATGCCAGCTCATAGGAAACACCTAGCCACTGCGACAAAACCATGATGAAACACACGTTTAGAAACCTCATACAACTGACACACCTCACCCATGGCACCATGCTACAAAAAACAAACCAAAAATGACATCAAATCCACACACCCCGCACAACCTGTAAGGTCCAGACACCCAAACACAATGCCCATCCTACTAACACTCGCTGCAATTAAGACCTCAAACATAAAACCCAACACTAAGACCTACTAGGTAATGCCATCCCATACTGAAACCAACAACGTGCATCACCCTTGAGAATTCACCGCTTATACCCCCCCATACACGAGACTAACACTGTCCTTATTACATGTCCACCTGACTACACCCTAGGTTCCCCCTGAAAACTCCTATGACATGCGTCACCCCATCGCCTAGAGACGAATGGCGCCGCCCCAATGCACAGTATAAGAGATGTACTTGTCTGACAGGAAAACTCTGCCCACCGGTACAATGAGAGACAAGGAAATCACCTCGATCAAATCCTCCTCCCAAGCCTCCCGCCCCTACCCACTCCCACCTCATCTCCCACCGGGTACACCTCACTCCAGGCCACACTTCTTCTCCCAAGACCTCTTACCAGAGGACGACAACATGGAACCTCTGAATGATGAGGACCAGTCTAACTCCCCTAACATGACTCTGACCCAGCCGACCCCTAATACAGCATCACCGGGTACCCCAGAGACGCCAACACCCGCCGCAAGGGTCATTCAACAAAGAGTGTCTTCCATACATAACCTCCTCCTCTCCCAGGAGATGCCGCCTCCCCTTACAACCGCCACGCAGAGTAACGCGGATACGTCAAGTGACCTAGCACAATCTATACATGCGCCAAAGAGCAACATGGAAGACCAACCCATGGATAACCCCCCTGCTCCACCTAGACCGTACTCTCCCAACGAGGAAGAAAGGACCATCCTAGCCCATCTCGCCTTAGCAGAGAAAAACAGGTCTACCATCCGTCATGATGGCCCGCACCACTGCACCACCCTACCCCAATTCACACCAACCCCCATTGGCGGCTTCCCTGGCACACACATGACCCACTCGGCAGAAGTATTTGATCACTTGGACAACCGCATCCTACTAGCATGGTTCCAAGTCGAACACCCAAAACTAGTAGTACAAGTCTTTGACTACACCAGAAGAGAGGTTGCTGAGAAAGCGGTCATCCTTGCTGAACGCATATGCGCAAACATTGCAATCATTGCCAACTTTGTGCACCAGGACGCGCAGCCCGTCCGCGTATCCCCTCCACAACCCCAAGGTGGACGTGAGAGCAAGGCCTTCCCTATCGGCTTCCTAGTACATAATATCTCTGAAGAGACCAAAGATCTCATACTGTCCAAACGCATATGGTCAGCGAACGACATCACATTCCAAGCGCGAGCCTTCAGCTGCTACCATCCACCCGACTTACTCTTCTGCCTGACCGGCTTCACTACATCCAACCCACAGATCATCCGTAAAGCCGTGACGGATGTATGGGCCGCTGACGAGTACCGTGCGGAGATCAACGACATTATCTCGATGAGTGAAATTAAAGATGAAAAAGAAGTCTACGCGGCTACTTGGAGTCTCATCAGATCTGCCTGGGTCGAACACCTTGACTTCAAAGTCACCAGGGGAGTATCAGTTACCCGCTTCAATGTCTTCACAATCAGCCCCATCCACGATGCCACAGCATGGACTGACCTACACTCCCTCCTCCATGTCCTCGACTACCCCACAGGACTGGACGGCTGCGGATCCGCAGTGGCGATGACCGCCTGCCCCATATGTCATTCCATCGCCCACCCTCATGGGCTATGCCCATTCCCCAACATCCCCTCATGGAACGGACCAAAGATTGGGTCCAAAACCACTGTCATGACAGCGAGGAACACAAAGCCGCATGGAAAGAAATGAGACTGCGCAACCACTGGGCCATCTACATATGCACACCCCCACTACTAATCCCCTACCAGAAAACCTACGAAAAGAAAGAAAAAATATATCTCTACGTACATAACCTGTACTCCCTTGCCATAGAATGTATACAAACGTGACCCCATGACTGCGCTGGAAATGAGTAAGCACCCTGACCAAACATGAAAACAGCAACCAGCGAGTCAACATGGGCCCATATCCCACTGAGACAGTACTCAATGGCAACACAGAATCAGTTCCCTTGAAACACGAACTGACATCAAAGAGTCACTTGCCCACATTTACTGACTGTGAAAATGGGACAGGAAAGCAGTGACGTCTCGACAAAGCATGGCGCATGCCAGAACACGGAAGCCTATTTAGGCTCAGACGAGTCGTGCCGAGAGGCTGAAGTCCTAGTTAGTAGTCTTGTGCAGAGGTATGGGTGTTCCACAACACGAAAACTCTGACATAGTTTACCTGAGAAGCCGGTTAAAGATACACCTCTGGCCTACTATTAGTCAAACGTAGGCAAAGTACACTGACTACTAGCTTAAATAACACAATTCGTTCTCCTTCCCTTCCCCCCGGTCTATTCCCAGGTCTTGGTTCCAGCCTCCCCGAGCACAGAGGGAGGCTTGTCCCCATCACTGGCAGGCCTCCTGATGACGTACCCGGGGAGTTCGGTGGCGTAGTTCACTCTTCAGGGCCACACCAGGCCCCAGCGCACCCTGCTGACACAAATGCCCCCAAAAAAACTAGGGCAAACATCATATTAGCATCACTAAACATCAGAGGACATGCCTCACCAGCAATAGGCCACGGCCAACTGTCCAAATGGCCAGTAGTCAACCACATGATGAGAGAGAAACGGATAGGATTACTATGCCTGCAAGAGACGCACCTAACAGAGAAACATGAGCACCAAATAGAACACCTCTTCTCTCGCAGACTCCTTGTTCTAAACTCATGTGACCCACATAGACCTGGCAACTCAGCGGGAGTGGCATTTGTACTAAACAAAGAACTCACAAATACTTCAAACACGAAGATGACAGTCATCATCCCGGGACGAGCTGCAGTACTGACAATATCATGGCACAATGAAAAGAAAATAACCATACTAAACATATATGCACCAAACAACCCTTCCGAACACCCCGCCTTCTGGGAGAAAATAACAACAAAATGGGCTGAACTAAGACTTAGCAAACCAGACATCATGCTAGGAGACATGCCCCAGCATGCCCCAACAATGAACCCACAATAACAGCCCTAAGAGACATGAGAACAGCATTGAGACTCCAAGATACCTGGAGAATAACTCACCCAACTAAATGAATGTTCACCTTCAGCAGTAACACCAACACTCTATCCAGATTAGACAGAGTATACATGTCTATAGAACACGCTAAGAGTGTATCAGACTGGGTAACATGCATGAGCCCAATACCAATGGACCACCACTTACTGCAAGTATGATTCTCCCCTCCCGGGTCACCCCACATCGGAAAAGGGAGATGGACCTGGCCCACCAGCATGCTCACAAATGCAATCCTACTAGATAAAATCATCCAGCGCAGCATGAGAGCACAATGTGAGGTAGAAGAGCTGACGCACTGAGACGAAAGTAACAACCCACAAGCGGTATGGCAATCCTTCAAAAAAGATATAGCAAAAATAGCAAAAGACATGGCGAAATCACACTTAGCAAAAATAGACTTAAGAATAAAACAACTAACGAGGGACCTCACTATCACGGCTAATATGCCAGACATCGACAGAACAGAGAACACCCGTCAACACAAGATAATCCTGGAAAAAGAAATAGATCACCTTCAACAAAAAAGGTACAAAAATGCTCACCTCCGTGCACAAGCTCAATGGTCGTTAAAAGGGGAAAAGATCAGCAAATACTGGTCAAGAGTAAACAGCGAAAAAAAACCAAGGGATGTTATACATAAACTACGAATCCTGGGCACCAACAGACTTACATCAAAATCTGAGGAAATGGCGGAAGTGGCCAGGGACTACCACAACAGAGTACAAAGACCAGGAACTGTAGAAGAAGACAACATAAGTTGAGACACACATATAGCGAACGTCCTCAAAAACATACCTCGAATACAAACACTCAATGCACCAGATAACCACCTCCACGATTTCATACAAGAGGAACACGTCCTCGACGCACCACAATCGTCGAAAGCAGGCAGTGCCACTGGAATGGATGGGATACCCTACGAAACATGGAGGGCCCTACATGAAAAGCACCTTGAAGCAGTTAGGAACGACAAACAAAGCTTCAATGTAATAAAAATGATGACGCACATCTTTAAAGACATACAACAACACGGTGTCCTGTGTGACTCTGAATTTACACTGGGCTGGATGTGCCCACTATACAAAAAGAAAGACCATACCCTCATTGAGAACTACCATCCTATAACACTGCTAAACACCGATTATAAACTGCTGACCAAGACATTAGCAATGCAGTTAGCGAAGGGCATACACACCCTCGTCCACCCGGACCAAAGTGGATTCATACCGAGAAGATCGATATTTGACCCCATACGACTAGCACAAACCATGACAGCATATGCAGACATAACGGAGGAAGACAGTGCCATCGTCGCGCTAGACCAGGAGAAAGCCTATGACAGGATTGAGCACAACTACCTGTTCAAGACGTTAGAACACTTCAACATACCTCAGATGTTCATCACAACAGTAAAATCATTGTATGCAACGGCATTCACAAGAGTCGCTATAAACGGGTTTCTCAGCACACCCTTCCAAGTTACCCGAGGCGTGAGACAGGGTGGTCCGCTCTCATGCCTACTGTTCGACCTCGCAATAGAACCATTAGCATGTACCCTCCGAACCTCACCAAAACTGCAGGGATATAACATCCCAGGACTAACAAACCACATCATAGTCAACCTGTATGCAGACGACACAACGATATACCTGTCTAAGCAGGATAAGTACACAGACCTTGAGGAAATCCTGCAGACGTGGTGCAGGGCATCCGGAGCGAAATTCAACCTTGAGAAAACCGAAATCCTCCCCATCAGCTCGAAAGACTTTAGAGCTGCGGTAGCAATGAGGAGGACACTGAATGAAGCCGACCAACCGTGGTCAGAAGAAATACGAGTCGCCACAGATGGGAACCCAATATGGACACTCGGCGCATGGATAGGCAACGAAGTGGACCATGCAGAACCTTGGGAGATTGTCCTGACAAAGATAGAGAAACACCTAACGAGGTGGAATATGGGTCACCCCACCTTGGAGGGGAAAAGACTTATCATCCAAATGGTGGTCGGAGGCATGATGCAATTCCTGACCAAGGCGCAAGGGATGCCTAAACAAATAGAGACCACTCTAAGCCGTAAGATCGGCGACTTCCTATGGAACAGCCATAGCTCCCACCCAGTGGGCCTAGATTGCCTTCAAAGGTTGATATCTGAAGGGGGCATCAACCTGTTAGACGTTAAAGCCAGAAACCAAGCAATTGACATTACCTGGCTAAGTACATACATGAATCTGTCTCCAACCTGTCCTGCCTGGGCATTTGCTACTGACATCATGATTAACACATTGAAACCAGAAGGCATAAGGCATCATACCGACCTTAAGAACTTCCTAATTGCCTGGGATCCCCCCACCCAAGGCCCAAGAATGAACAAACTCCCCAGACAAATCATCAACATGCTGTGAACTGCCAAAAAACTTAATGTCAGTTTTGTGCCCCTGAAACTATCTACTGCTTTGAAAGGCCAATTGCCAATATGGACACACCTTGGAGCCCCGCCAAGGACGTACAATAAACGATTGAATGCGTGCCTACAAAACACGCATAGAATAAGAACAGTAAAAGATATGAAACAAATGTGCGCATGCCTACCAGAACACCGAACACACCACCCTGGAAGCACGTGCCAATGCGGCCCATGCAAGGAAGACCGCACACAGGGATGTAAAGACCCACATAAATGTGCCCAGATAGCAGCAGACATTATTAAAAAACTCCCACCTAAGTTCGAATATACAACATCACCAGCCAAAGACAGCCTAACCCTTACACACCGAAGACTCGAGAAAAATGCTCGAGCAGCCCTGAGCAGACAGGGTGAAATGACCTTCGACCCGTCAGTAACAGCTAAAACAGACTTGTCAGAATGCTTCAGAATCTTTGCGGACCCACGGAAACTCACACAAGCACCCGCGCTGAGGATGCAATGCCTCGGCACAGGAAGACAAACCAATGATGCCATGCTTGAAGTATTCACTGATGGCGCATGCCTGGACAATGGTAAAGAAAACGCCAGGTGCGGAAGTGGTATATGGGTAGCACCGGACCACCCAATGAACAGGATAATAAGATGCCCCAGACCCACACAATCAAACCAAGTGGGAGAAGTCACCACAATCCTAGTGACACTACAATTAGCTGACCCCCTAACCCCACTAAAAATTATGACAGACTCACGATACGCAATAGATGGACTGACCACCAATCTACGACAGTGGGAGGACCGCGGCTGGATCAGAATAGCCAACAGCAACCTACTAAAGGCAACCGCATACCAGCTGCACAGACGAGCAGTGACAACCACATTCCAATGGATCAAAGGACACAGCGGGATAGAAGGTAATGAACAAACTGACAGGCTAGCAGGAATTGGGGCCACGAAAGAGCTTCCAGACGATGTCAACCTCGAGATCCCGGATGACTTCGCACTACAAGGTGCCAAACTACAATCAATGGCACAGGCCCTAGGATATGCGGGGATCAGGGAAAGAAAACACCTGGAGTACAAAAGACCTACCATTCAACTACTGGATGTAACTTGCCACGCAATAACAAGAATCACCACGAAAACAGAAACAGACACCTCAATCTGGGCAAGCTGCAGGAAGAAGGACCTATCAAAAAAAGTTCAATTGTTCCTGTTCCGGACACTCCACCCTGTACCGCATCGGCGACTTCTGGTTGAGGATACCAATGCACAAACAACGTGCCACATGCACAATGTGTAGGGAAGACACAGAGTCCATGGACCACATACTGACAGAATGTAACACGACGACAAGAAAAGTAATCTGGGAACTCACCAAACGTATATGGCCCACCCGCCTGTGCCCCTGGCACCCACCCACAATAGGCTCCATCCTAGGAAGTGGAGCCATCGACCTCACACACACTCCTGACATAGGAGACCCAAATGACCACGCTACGGCGACTCGCAAGCGGGGTGCCTCGCACCTTGTACGAATCATACTATCGGAATCAGCGTACCTGATCTGGACGCTGAGATGCGAAAGAGTTATTGGTGAAAAAACACATACTGAGGAAAGCATCACCAAACGATGGCTACAGACAATAAACCAATGGGTACACCTAGACCGAGCGATCACATGCAAGAATAGATGGTGCCCAAAAACCACCGTGAAAGTCCATCACACGTGGGCTGACATAATATCGACATCACCACCTGACAGCGAAGACTGGATGACAAACCTTGAGGTTTTAGTGGGTATAACACTACCTAGACCCTCGCAGACCAAGGCAACAAGGTAGTTTACGAAGCCCCACACTGCCTACGGACAAGTAGCGCGTGCATTAGAGCATTTTTCCTCGGACAGTACTGAAGTACTGCTATAAGTGTTTATGTAAGGCCAGACGGTGTCGGTTGTTACATAATAGACTCGCTTTTCCAAAAACAAAAAAAAAGAATGTGGCTTACAAACTAGGTGATAAATCAGCTTATTACTAAGTACATTACAAATACAGTGTAATCTTACAAAGAATTTACAAAGCATGACAAATCATGACAAAACATGATGAGTCATGTGAATGTTGTTACAAATCAGATTATTTCCCAGTCACATGATGTGCTGACAAACAAATCTGGTGGCTGAAAGAAGCCAAATAAAAATAAACAGTCAGAAATAAATAGAGAGATACAAAACTTTAACAAACAAATCTGTGGCTGAAAGAGGCCAAATAAAAATAAACAATGAGAAATAAACAGAAGGTCACATGTTCATAAAAATACAAGATAAAACAAGTCTGAAAAGTGAGAAATAAAATATAAGACAATGAATCAAAGGAAAAACAGAGAGGTAACTCAGTGATAGAGGGCTAGACAGTCTCTCATACCTTCCTTATCACTCTCTATATATAACTGACATGGTATGAATCACATACCATGCATGACAGTGTGAGGACCTGTGGTCCGTTTTTATGAGGTATGCCTTCTGGGCGGGTCGTCAAGTGGTCCTCTACACCAACGACCCTCTCCCTTTTCCCTGCTCCCCTCCATATGTGTTGTCAAATACAATGTTGATTTGCGGTGCTGTTGTTCTGTTGAATGTTCCCAGCATGCGTGTGCTAAGTCCTCTCCATATGGACTCGTTCTTTGGCAGTTGATTGTTTACTGGGATCTGTCATTCTAGACCTATGTGGCCATGTGTGCTGCACCTGAAGCACTCTCCCAAGCATATTTGTGCTGTTCCAGGTGTTAGCGGGTATGGTGTCTGCTCAGTGCATCTTGCGCCTCTTCCCCACTGTGCCTCCCATTGTCTGACCTGTTCTTCATATGCGGCCTGTCCTCCCTCCGTGTCTGGTTGAGTGCACTTGCCAGTGAGCTTGGGAGTTTGGTTGTGGTGTACTGTTCGTTCTTGGCTGCACTGGTGCTGCTTGCGATACTTCATTGACTGTTTGCATTGATGTTCGTTGCATTTGTAGGCGGAGAATTTCGACCAGGTCTGTTTGTCTATTCTCGAGTCCAGCGATTCTCTCATTCTGCACTCTTTCTGCTTCTTTTTTCTCTTTCTCCCTCTTCGCTTTGTCCTGGATGATGTCTATGTCTGCTTTTTTGATCTCGCCAAGGAAGTCCTTCCATGTGGCTGGGGATGGTGTCGTGAGGTCTCTGATGTCTCACGGTAGTCCTTCTTGGACTTAATGGATAAACACTGGTACATTCATTACTCCTGCATCTTGCACTAACTTCTGGAGACATCCATGATAGTGGAGATGTGACCATGTCAACACTCCCACTACCGTGATTTGCTCTCCCACATCCTCTTCCTTCAATCTTAATGCTAGAAGTTCCTTCTGGTAGTCCAGCTGTGATTTTGCCACTATTACGATAGCTGGCCACTGCATCTCGAATTCCTTCTTGACATCCTGCCAAGTTGTCTTCTTCGACACATCAAGTCCATTCCACCAAATGTCTGCCTGTGATCCTGCATATATGAATGTGCTGAATATGACAACTTTCATTGCCTCATCTGTGATGCTGTTGAGGTAGATGTACCTCTCCACTTCTCACAGGAAATTCTGCAGATTCTCTGATTCTTTCCCTTCAAATGTGGATGGTGCCAGTACGCTGGCCATTGGTAGGAATGGAATCTGGGGTGGGGTGATTGTTGTCAGTGTCCGTAACTTTAGCGTTGGTTTTGGCTTGCAGGGGACGAGGTAAGTAACTGAGTGGGACCACAATTTCACCGGAGGATTGTGGACCCTCAGGCTAAACTTGGGTGGGCTCAACCATGAGACCTACCATAGCAGATCCATCCTCGACCATCAAGGGTGTGGGTTCCATGACTGACATGTGCAAATCAATGAGGTTAGAAAGTTCGGAGGGGAGGGGTGACATGGACGGGGGGGAATGGATTGATCAAGCAAGATTGTTGCATCGGCAGGTGTGTCCGAAAGTGGAAATGAAGGGTGCCGGTCGACCACCTTGCGTCGGAGGCTCTCATGCACATAATACAGTGACATATCACCTTACTTACTGGCCAGCCCACCTTGACATTTTCTCCATGTGACATGGGCCAGCCCACCATGGGCCCACTTTATGAGTGTATGTCGGTGTACATGGGTGGGCCCGGTGGTGCTGTGTACCATATTGTTTTGGGCAGGCCCACTGCCAATATTCTTCGAAACATTGCAGTGGGCTGACAGGGGTCTGGATGAAGTAGACTGTGTTTACAGGTGGGCTCGCAGTAATGAGGAACAGGGATGATTCAACAATTCCGAGTGGGCCCATGAGTTTCTGAAATGGCTGGAATACTGGCGCCGATGAATTGCCAGCAGCCAAAAAAATGAGGCATTCCGGCGAATGTAAAAGTAAACCAGTGAGTGGAAATACCACCACCGGTGAATGTAGCGGTGATGAAACGACGGCGGATCATAAGGTCAATGACCACCGGTGTATGTAGCGGATGTTACGCTGGTTGTTGGTCGGCGTGTGCGAACTAGGATAGGTCTTCTCAGCGACGACTCGAGTGAGTCTACTGAAGCTGAGCGTGGTCTAGCCTTGACGGAACGTCAAGGATTCCTCCGGCGATCTCGGTAAGATGGCGCTCATTGAGATGCAGGGCTAGCGGATACGTGCTAAGTCGTAAGGGGGCGACTTAGAAGTGTGGTCTCACACAAGGAAGCTGGTAGGCTTAGATGAGCAAGTTCTAGGGATGAACCTAGTAGATTAAAGTAAAGTCTAAGTACAATAATCTGTGTCTACTTATAGGGAAGTACTACAAGTATTCTAGCTCAGTCTGTAATCAATAGTATATCGTAAATCTATGATAGCCAGGCATGAGGTTCAGATAAGATACATGAGGCTTAACCTCTGATCAAGCATGCTGCGCCAAGGACAGCTGCGCATAGGTACAGGAAGCGCCAAGAGCGCTCTGGGTCTTCATGAAGCGACATGCGGTATGCATGCGCTGATCTAGGGTGACCATGAGGCGTACAGCCTCCATGGATCAGGTACAAGGCCGTCTAGGCCAGGGGCGGGGTCATAGCGCCAGGCGGGGTCATAGCGGTCCAGACCGCTGTCTTTCTAGGTGCGGGCGGCGCACCGCTGCGCGGGGAGTCTAGCAGAGCGGGGGCAGGCGTAGGCAGAGCTGGGGCTCTAATAGGTGTTGCAGATGCCTGTAACAGCGGACTACCGGACGTGCAAAAGTAATCAATGGCCGGTGGAGATCACTCAGCGCACCGGCGATGTAGTCCGGCGGGTCCTACCAATATGCTTTGATGCAGCTGGTGGGCCCATGTGGTAGGCAGAATAAAGCAATGGGCTCATTGTTGGTGGGATGTATGGAGTGGTGGGCCCAAGCAGATACTTCTTTATATGTGGCTGAGCTGGGGCCGCGGCGATAAGGTGCCCGAGGGAGCCCATATCGGGTCTCCTGAAATTGAATAGGCCTGGGCCCCATATGTGCGGCGGACGGGTGGGCCTGGAGCACCACATTCATGAACACCGCTGGGCCCAGCTCTCTATCTCGGAGCTCATGGGCTGGCCGCATAATCATAATAAAACCCCAAGGGACGTTAGGCAGACGCACAGGCCCGGAGGTGTCTGGAGTGTATACCGTCAGGCCTATGCCCTGTATAACGGTGGCCAGGTGGGCCCAATGATGCCAGGTCGATGCAATGGGCCCACCCCGGGTAAGCCAAATCAGCACGCAGGCCCAGGGGAAACATCTTAAATCAGGGGTGGGCCCATATCACATCTAACGAGCAGAACAGGCCCAGTCTTGGCTAACGGTGTAGGGATTCATTTCTGGCTAGGCTTGGAGAGACTGTCTTTACCTTACCTTATGTTGGCACTTTGTAGCTTACATAATCAAGTTACCTTTTCACCAGTTCTACTATGAGTCTGAGTATTCAGCAAGTTTCTATCATATTTCCTCTTCTCTGAGCCTTGAGCCTGGTCCAGAAACCCTTTAGGGTCGAATAGCAGCTAGGTTCTGCAAGACCCAACATTGTTCAGACTCACCATCTGAATTGTTGTACCTTCAACGGGATTAACAGGCAGGCCCAGTGGGCTGCACAACATCCACTGATAAACTTAAACCGGCGATATGGCGCTGAACGGCATTGACAATCGCTGATACATCTATAGACGGGTCCAGAAGTTCGCCGATGCATGTATGGAACTGAGGGATCAATGACTTTGAAGAAATCCCCAAATGTACTATATATACCCCAATTCTATGTGAATTCCATCGCATCGGTAACTACAGATTTGTACCTTGAATAATCACCTCGAGGTACATCTACAAATTCATGAATATCATCCCTCATGTACCACACCCAGCCAACTTGATCGCCGTTCACCCAGTTAACCCCATGCCTAACAATTCTTCCCGAGGCACCAGCCATGACACCTGCATCATAGGCAATTTCAATGCCAATATTTGGCATCTTCATTCGCGCCGATGTATAACCACCGATGCTGGTCATTATGTCAAACCATTGAGCGCGGGATAGAGCATCTCGGTGCAAGGGAGTATACCGGTGCACATAACGGCGACGACGGTAAAGACAGATGCCCATTCTCTGAGCTGAGTCCCCATGGTCTGTGTTTGATGAGTATTTGCCCAAACCCCAAGCCCCAGTTGTGTTGTCAACTATGACCAATAGAGACCGGAGTGCATGACTCTCAATGCAGCGGCAACAAGGGCCGCTGGTCTGCACATTGCCCGACAGTAAGCCGCACCATCGTCGCTTTTAAGGGTAGCCGACACTTCAGGCTGAAACTGTGGAGCCTATGAAGAAATCAGGCAAGAATATTCTGTTCCGAAAAGTCAACGCACCGGATGAGCTTGCAGGAACCACCCCGGCGATAGATTTATGCACCCTGAGGTAAGGCCATGTTCACTGATTTGAAAATTGGATTCATGCGTACGCCATGTGTCCTTCGGCAATGTACCACAGGTGATACTCTTGCCCAGTGGGCCCAACATCATCATCGTCACCGAAAGCATGTCATTCTGTAACAGTGAGCGGAGATCATCGACGAGTTGTGCAAGTCTACCTGAATGGCAGCATCAATTGCTCCGGGGAGGTACCATAGCACGATAAGACCAAATTTGTCAAGGACAACTGCAGGACGCTCCAGGATAATCTCACGATCCGGCGGGTATTGGGTGAGGAGAAATTCTTCACGTCCGGGGTTAACACCTCTCTCCTGCTTTTGCAGTACTTCGGAATATCTCGTCATATCGAAGTTGATAGTGACTAAAGCCAATTCAAATCAATGCTAGCGCCGGATGCATGGAAAGGTCATTACCAGGATTGAGATATGCATCGGCGAGGATCCTTGCGAGGTGGGAGCAACCTAGCATCAAAACAACATCAAGCTCCGGCAGCGGGAGGACCTTTGGCGTCACTCCAACAATAGCACAAAACTGGCGGCAAACATAGTCACTGGCAAGATGAGTGGTGGCCAAAGCCCAGTCAGCAGGGACCAAACTCATGGAGGCGGGGACAGACACAACCATATCACTGACTGGTCAACACCTTTATAATTACCACTTATTGGGAATCAATGATGGGACGTAAGATAATGACATAAAAGAATCTTAGGCCCCCGGTTAAGAAAGCCATGTGCCCGAGCCTTGCCGATGAATGGATAACACAAACGTAATGATGCAGACATGGCAGTATAGTGTACGTCCTAGATAAAGACGACGGACCGCAACTTCCGGGTTGGTCACCGGAAGGTAAAGCAATCACTGCCATTGCGGCGGTGCCTCACAATGGCGTGTCTCTGAGGGTGATCAATAGTGAAAGTTTAACAAGAATATGACTGCGCAGTTCCAAATTATCTACCACTACATGGCGACTGTAAGAATATTGACCAATAGAAATCATTTAAGCGGCGGGACCCTTCCCAGATGCCGATTCACCAAAGGGATGGTTGATCTGGGAACCTGAAGGTCCGGCGTGTGCGGCGACGATACTTGGAACGGAAGTACCTGCAATTGTAGACAGACCTGGGGTGAAATTGAAATAAAGCCGTTCCATTGCCTGCGCCTGCCCGGCACTCATGCCTTGACTGTATGGGACTGGATGACCGGCGGGGGGGAAGAACACAGCATTATTAAAATGAGGTACGGGTGGGTTGGGGACAACACATTGCTGGATGGACTCATAGGCATCCATCAGGACGGTGGTACGATGTCCTTGTGCAGTCAACATTGCATCAGCGCTCCGGATCTGAGCCTCACGAGTCTGAAATTCGGCATGCAAGGCCTTCACCTCCTCTTGCAATACAGCGATCTCGGCACACATTTTCTCCATAGCTCGGATGTCAGTATCCTGAGCAGCAAGGCACCCGTTCATGATTTGAACCAACTCGGCCATCTGAGCGTTCCGAGTTCGGATGTCGGCCACCTGAGTCTGAAGGTCATTGATGGTGTCCTGAACCACCGCGAGGGGCGACACCGAATCAAGTTTCACCTCTAGTGTCATGGCCTGCAAATCCTTCGCAACCGTGTCACTGGACGCGTCAACTTCCATTTCTTCGGTGAATGACAGAGGCGATTGAGTTGGACGAGGAGGCGGCATGAGTGGAATTGCGGCGGTGGGAGTGTTCTTTACCGAATAAGATGGAGGAAGACTGAAGGCATTTTGGGAGCTTACAGCATTGACATCAGCCTGCATTGCCGTGCTCCTGGTACCCACAGGCTCAGGGGTGACCATTGCCTTTTGTTCCGCCAACATAGCTTCACTTTGTTGCCGGTCGCGTGTGGCAGTCCTAGTGCTGGCCCTTTTCTGGAGAATACAGTAATGAGACAAACATAAAGATAGAATGACAAAGCTCCCGACCTGAACCTCATACCATGGCTTCCGTTGATCACCAGCATTTCGCATCAGCGGAGGATGGTTAGAGGCCTGTTTCGGCAGCCTGCCAGAACTCACATCTCTAGACTTCTTCCACTCACGGTCCTGCTGGTGTATCTCTGATGGCAACGTAACTTCCCTTCCCTTCCCTTGCCTATCCGTTGGGACCTCAGACCCAGACGACACTACTATCTCCACCCGCTTGCTTTTCGGCTTTGGCCTCGGTCTAGTCAGCGTTGTATTTGTATTGCCCGGGGCGACATCCTCAGCTTTGTCCACAATCGCTGGCGCGATGACCTTGTCTTCATGGCACATGGCGACCTCTTCGGATGCACCAGTAGACCTCCACTTCCTCTTGTGGAGAGCATCACTTTGGCTGATATCCCCAACAATTTCGACTTTGTCACTGTCCTCACACAAGTCTATCGGCGTCTTCCGCGTGACAGATCTTCCAGGCGGCTTGGACTTTGCTACCACTGAAGGGACTGCTGGTGTATTTGTCACCTTGACCGGTGGTGCATCTGGAGGTTGCGACATCGGTGCTGGGGCCGATACAGTAATTACCTTGTGAGCCTTGCCATATAACTGATGGCGCTCGATGCGAGAGTCATTAGACTTGATGTTGTTCCACACCGGGACACTAAGAAATGATGTCTGACTAACACGATCTACATGCTCCATTAATTCCATGGCCGCCAAAAGCAGGATCGGTGGGATTTCAGTTGCTGACTGTGCATGAGTTTGAAATGCCGGAGTCTGTGCTTAATTAGGTGACAGTGCATGACTAATGAGGACATGCTGACCATGATGTTTGCCATCTCTGTGGCCATGTTCAGGTGGCCGGTGGGACCTTCGCTCGACTGCAAGGCTCTTGCCAAAATTTGGAGCACGCCAGCAGTTACCTCATTGAAGGCCTTGTTCAAAACTTCTGAGGATGGCATGATGAGCAGGGAATGTGAGCGTAGATAACAAAAATGGGGACAATTCGCTTGTCATTATATGGCAGATGAACAAATCAAAATTTCATGTCATAATACGAACTCAGCTCAGTCACCCGTACCATGCGGCGGCATGCGGATTCAGAAGCACTGATCTCTGACCACATCTCGGACCACGTGTCAACTTTCACACGCACATAATCTATTGTCCTGGCTAAGTGTTTAAACCCCGCAGATGCGGCCACAACACTAATCGGCACATATTTAATGCTTGCGTCTTCGACAGTTCTTCCAATCACTCATCTGAAACCTCATTACTTTTTTCTACAATATGACTAGCAACCGTCACGTCCATTTCGAGCTGCCCACGAACGGTGATACACCCTCCAACTCGCCGATTTCCAACACCGGCAACCAACCTTCAAGTACGTGTTTCTGTGGCATGCATGATTGTTAATTTATTTTCAATTAGGGTTCAACTTTGGGTTTGAGAATTTGCACAGCCATCTTACGGCAGACTTGGCGCGTACAAGGCGTACCATACCCCAAACCTTTAATTTTGGGTTTCCGGTGCAAAAGCAAGTTACAGCGGAGGCCCTTGTGCCGGACCCGGCGTGTCAAACAGCTCTGATGACACCACAACCTCAAAAATTTAACTTTGGGTTTACAGCAACCAAGCAAGGCCCAGCGGCAGTTGACTCAGAGCCCACACCATCTTCCCCAGCTCCCACAACATTCAATTTTGGCTGGACTCGGTCCATTGCCACAGAGAAGCCGCCAGTTCAGGCATCTCAACCATTCAACTTTGGAATGAATGTGGAGAGTGAGATTCTCCCCTCACTGCCCTCGCCACAGGATGTCCGGCACACCCGCCGTAGCTGTTCCAACACTCCTGACAATGGAGTGCCAGCGTCGGTGATCCCTCTCAAGAGACCCATGTCTCCGCCGCTGCCCTCAACTCCTCCTCAGGCACCGGCGGCCAAACATACAGCCAAGTTCAACTTCGGCTGGAAACAGCCACCTTCAACAACAGCGGCTGTTGCTACCCATGTTGGGTTTGACCAGAATAATAAACGTAAGTCGCTCATCTATATGCATGAGTTATCCGAAGATTAAACACCATTCTAGCATTCCAGTTCAGTTGTAAGGTCCCTCCAGCAAAGGTAGGGAAATGGACACTGGCGCCTATTACAGCCGCCGTGCCACAAGCAGCACTGGTGCCGATGGCAATACTGGCACCTAACATAGCCGCTGTGCCAGAGGCAGCACCGGCTCCCGAGTCAGACCCTTACACGCCAAAGGCCTTGCCGAACTGGGAGGGTGGTTTCCCCACTGCCAAACGACGAAAACTCGATCCCGCCAATCAAGTGACCCGCCAAGACACCATCGGACGCCTTATTGGCGACGCTGAGAAGGCTGCCATTGACATTGTGAAATGGCTCAATGGGGATGAATGTAAGTCCCGCAACTGACATGACTCTTCCAACTTTACTGACTTATTTACAGTTGATCGACTCGCCCAAACAATGCTGGGTAGCCTCATTAGGCCCGGCGATGATGTCCGAGATCCCATGCCGGAAGATGTCTTGGACAGCAACTGCGCTGTATTATCGGTGTTCTGTGAGTCCAGAGATTGGTTGACTAGGATCTTCAAGGATCTTATCACCCTTCATCATGCATCTGAGCACCACATACGCCAGATTTCGTTCATGGACTCTCTTGCAAATGAGGTTGAGACAGCAGAGAGGACCGCCGGTAGTCAGTAGTACATACAGTATATCTTTCAATTAGTCGCGGCTATTTCTTTAGTACCACCAATGTTATGTTAACGGCCAGACATTCACATTGCCAATGAGTCACACTGATGTGCACCGGCGGACAGTGTGCTTTGTATTTCATGCCGGCATATCCTACAGATGTAATATGACATAATGATTACTTCCTGCCACGCTTAGCCCTTGAAGCTTCCGGCGCAGTGGTTTTACTCCTGGTTCGCTTTGCCGGCGTGTCACTCACGGCGTGAGTGCCACAGCGGTTTAAGTTCTTGGGAGGCTCATTTGATGTATATGCAACCTCCTTGCTTCTAGTTCCAGGCACTAATGATGTGGCCGGCGCCTTCAATGGTATTCCCTGTGACTTGAGAGGCTGTCCAGAGGGAATAGAACCTTTCATCGGAGGATTCAAAACCCTGCCGACCTCAGCGACAACTTGTCTGGTATCCCGGTGTGAACCTGCAGCCTGCTTCTTCTTGGTCGGCAAGGCGACCTTTGGGGGTGGCAAAATCTTGGGCTCTCCACTGGTGGATGGTGCTTCCTCATCTTCACTGGATGGACTAACACCATCCTCTCCAAGATCACCATTCAACTCGTCCTCCGAATTGTTATCCTCTGCCACACAGCGGCGGTTAGCTTTAGGGTTGGCTTTGCCCTTACCCTTCCCTGTGCTCTGCTTTGTGGCATTGGCACGGTGAGCACTGGGTGGCCACAAGTCCGCCTCTTGCATCTCGCCATCGGAATCTTTCCAGGCCTTGAATGAGAAGGCTGGTTGCATGTTGTTTTTCTGGCGGTCAAACCAGAAATCTAGTACGGTGGTGGCATCTGCTTTATCCATCTTGGATGGCTCCTTGAGCTGCACGCCGGCCGGCCAATGGGCGCCGTCAAAGAACGCCCATGGGTCATGGATTACATCTCCCCATGGCACTGCCGCTTTCAGGTTTTCTTCGCCGGAGCACATTCCTGTTAAGAATCAGAATGATGTACAATCTGACAGAGCAAAACAAAGTACTATAGAGCTTCATCAAGAAAGACCAAATCATGTGCTGTTGTTCGGCTTGTTTCCAACCCGTTGTGTCGGGCAGAATCGGCCACCCATCGGCGTCTTCGTCAAGTTCAACTAATTTCTTGGCGACTCGTTTCTTTGATTTCACCATCTGGGGTTCCCCATCGTCCTCGCCATCTAAACATTCATTTGCCTCAGTGTGCTCGCCAGTAAGACATTCACATGGCCTCACCAAATTGCTCCCCCACATATTCCACCCATTCAGGCATGATGATACCATCCCAATCCCTTGTCTTGATAAAGCTCTCTCCATCCCCGAACTGTTCATTGAAGTCGTGGCTGCAGTCACTGTTGAATAAATCGCCGATTGATTGGAGATGACACTCACCCTCCCAACATAAGCTTGCCTTGGCTGTCCTTCCAACCTGATAGGATGCAGACCCTCATTCCGGCTTTCTTGAACATTTCAGTTGCGAAATGCTCGATCATGTCGGCGCCCTTGCTCTCGGCGACCTCGGCCTAAATATCCGGCGGCACCGCTTCGTTGTTCCACTTCTCCGCCATGGCCTCCGCTTCCTCTCTCTCCTCCGCCGACAAACGATTAATGACTGTCTTTGCTGCCTTCAGCCATCTGGTAATCATCCCCTCGCTTCCAGCCATCTCTCCCATCTCCTGTCGAATTGAGGCTTTGTGTGTGTGAATCAAGACTTGCCTCGCTGTCCAATGACAGCCATACTTGATAAGGGGCTTTGCAGCTCCTCTCCGGCGAGACTGGTTCTGCAACCACTGCTTGTAAATCTTTGACAGACATGTTATCATGCTCTGGGATCTCCGATATGTTATAAACTGTTAAATACCTTTCGCCGAGCTTTCAACAGGGCCTTTTCCTTGGTGGGAGCTTGGAGGGACGCTTCCTTGTAGATGGCAAGCAGCACCCTCGATCTTTCTTTACCTTTCACAGACTTCCAGTCTTCTAGGTGGGCTCTGAGGACCAAGACTTCAGCCTTCTGCAAGCAAACCTTTTTTTGTGGAACCACAATAGGAGATTCACTTCTTGGCATGTTGTGTTATAAAGGATGGTGATGGTGAATCTTTCCAGACTTAACAACAGTTGGTTGACTGTCGTTAGTGTTCCATGGTTTTGTTCTGTTCTGCTCGGTTCATTCACCCTATATTACAGTTCATATCATGGATATATAGTGGATATGATTGCTGTGTTCTGCTCGGTTCAGCTTATATTATAATTCTTATTATGTACTTGTAACCAATGGTGATTAATTGATATGACCATATTGCATCGGTCAATTGAAACTTGTCATTCTTACAGATTCTTATACAGTACTGGGCTCAACAAATGGGAGGTTCTAGACTACAAGAGTGGACTCCAAAACGTAAGTATGCAGTGGTGGAATGGCAGAGAACATATAGGACGAGAAAGGTGGTCGGCAAATGGGTGGAGAGACCTATCATTAGTAGATCGGTTCCAGCAACCCCTACTAAGTCTCCCTCAAAGCAGGAATCTTATGGTATGCTTTACCATGGGGGAGATGACTTTTCAGGCAACCTTGGTGATCACATGGTGACTCCACTGCACCTGCCAAAGTCCCTGGTGAGCCATCCACCGATATCACCTCTATTTCACCACTGATCTGTATTCAGAGTCAAAATGACTATATACGTCAATGGGTCCCAAAGACCAAAGCATATCTTGACATACTCCTTGAAAGAGAAGTTCCATCAGATAGGTCATGTATCATCTGTGGGACAGATGGTGTCTATAAATGCCATGGATGCTTCGGTGAGCCTCTCTTTTGCACAAGTTGTTGCAGAACCCAGCACCAGAGGCTTCCCTTTCATCGGGTTAGCCAATGGACAGGCTCATTCTTTGAGGAAAGTTGCTTGGTCAAGAGTGGGATGGTGATCTGGCTCAGACATGGAGGAAATGCATGCCCATGGGATGATGATGTAGGGGAGTCAGCTCTGTTCACTACAGGGGAAGGAGATTCCGACGATACGGATGCCGAGAGCATATTGAATGAACCAAATGCCGAGCCAAGCACAAAGGAGGCCCATGACCTACCGACCGGCGTGCCGTTCATTAAGAACAACAAGGCCATGACAACAATAGTCGACAAGTCCGGAGTACATACCCACATCGTCAAGTATTGCACATGCCCAGAGGCCGACGCTGCCGATATACAGTTGTTTAACATGGGTTTGTTTCCGGTGTCATTCATAGAACCAAAGACGGCATTTACCTTCGATGTCTTGAATGACTTCTTACTCGACAACCTGGAGTGTGGGACTTCGGCAATGAATTATTACAGCAAGTTAAGGAGGATGACCACGAGCGTCTTTCCTCACTTGGTGACGGTGAGCTTTGTGGTGCACCATCTGCCATTTCATTAATTGTCATAAAGGACCGTTACTGGGAGCTCATGAGGGTGGCAAGACAATGGCGGAAGTTGAAGCTCCTGAAGTGGAATGGCTTCGGCCATGAGGACAAGGAAGTGAGACCTGGCGATCTAGCCCTCTTTTGTTCAGCATGTCCTCAGCCAGGAATTAATGTCACATTGCCTGCCGGAGGCACTGCTGAGGACATCGATGCTAACAATGGATCTGGTCGAGAGACTCCGAGTTGGTTATACACAAGATTGCTTGTCATGGACGGAAACTTCAAAGCCGAGCATCTTCATGCCACAAATCCCGCTGATGAAGTGTCTCTCATGGACGGTCGTGGCTTCATGGTCGGCGATGCCTTGTATTGTATAAGGAGCATTTGGCCATTGCCAAGGATGCCATGCAATGCTCGGAGTGCAACAACCACCACGCGGTAAATTTGGCAAATGCATCTCGTCACAGATTGGAGGCCACCGGCATTGGCGGATGTGCATGTGCGAGGCATGGTTGTTTTGTCCCGCACGCCATGGTAGATTTTCAGAAGGGAGAAAGGTGTGTACAATCACTTGGACCATGTGCGTTATCACCGACCATCAACAGACAGATGAATATGGATTATGCGCTGTGCGAGGCGTTGAAACTCAACACTGAGGGCATCCGCCGTGTATTGACTTTCTATGATGTGAACTGTCAGTATCATAAGCACCTCCAGGACCGCATCGCTGACAGTCCGTTGCTGAAGATGCATGACGAGCTGGAAATCACCCCCGGCATTGGACTATGGCATGTCCATGGCCATCAAGACAGCTACTATGTCAGATATGCTTCCAATTTCATACAAGGCGCAGCCAGGATTGACGGCGAGATCATGGAGACATTATGGGCACCATTAAATATAATCTCACTGGCGGCCCGTGGCATGGGAACTCCTCACCGAAAAGAATGCCTGGATTACCAAATGAATGATTGCAACTTCATGAAAATGATCAGAATGAGTGGGTGTCTCGTTTATTCTGTGCATGAATCTGACAGCAGAGACCATACAGGCAAATCGCTTTGCCGAAAATACAAGGAAGCTATGAAAGGGGTCGCCGACAGCAACATGGCATTTGAGCGGCTTGATGAGACTGCCGATGCCGATAAAGTCAAAGATTGGGAGGCCCAAGAGAGGTTGGCACATGAACAGTGGCGCCATGATTCAACAGCAATGGACATTTATGAAGTTCAACTGCGCAAAGGTATGTAGACTTCTCGTACGGACAGTCAGTTCTGATTCTTGCACAGCACCGACAAGAAAACAGCAAGAGTTAAGGTTGTTAACGGCGCAAGGCCGGCGGCCTGGCGACGTGCGCCGGAGAGGTGCGGCAACATGGCTGGCAGAGGGCCTTGCTATCGAGGAAGCCCAGGTCACGCTGCAGATTGATGTGAGAAAGCTCGGACATCGGGCAACAGATACTCAGCGATTGGCGATTGGTCGCTGATGGGATACTCTGCAACGGGATATCGATCGCTGGACGGCGGCCGGAGCAATAATTCTTGGCAAGGAATTAGGCAACAATGACATGCAGATCATGCAACCAGATCTGTTAATACTTCAAGAAGACACTGAAGAAGATATGGACGCCAAGCTTAGAGTGTTTGAGCCGGAAAAGGGGGTGATTCCTTTGCCTTCCAATTTGGGGCTAGAGAAATGTGCGGCCCTCGGCATTGCTGATATTGCCGATGTCTCGCAAAACCGACTGGTATGTAGAGGTCACTACCGAGGACAAGATGGATGCCAATGAAGAGCGCGTTATCACAGTCGCGCCGAAGATGGGTACTAAGAAAGTAAGTTGCATCATATCGTTGTCACCTTCTCTGACTCCCCATCGGCACAGATCACCAACTTTTCAGGTGCCGTCTTGACGGAAGATGAGTTCGCCGATACTTCAGCGCCCACATGGGCTCCTCGCTGTGGCCAATGTGTGGCCCGCAATCTCATCTGCCATCAGGGCTTCAACAAGAATAATGGCCAGACATTGAAGGTTTGTGTGCTGTGCAGCCGCCTCAAGATTCGTTGCGGTGGGAAAGGCTCCAATCCTCCCTCAGCCAAAGGCAAGTCCTCGGCTGCCCGCCGAGCGTGTTCCCAGTCCCGGCGCCGCCCTTCGCCGATACAAGGTGAGATGATTTCTACAGCGCTGAAAACATACTAACTCCCAGTCTAGAAGATCCAGCTCCAGACGCCGGCCCATTGGTTGAGGAAGAGCCGGCGCCTCCTGCAACCCCGGCGGTTGCCAATCCCGAGTCGTCCCAAACGCAGGACGATCCCGAGGCCGCCGGCCCATCACCCATCTTGCCGCCATCCTGTGTCGCCCATGAACAGGAAATGGAAGCGCTGAAACTGGAAGTTGCCAGGCTTCATTCTACCATCGAAGTTCTGGTAGCTCAGGTGGTGGCAGGCGACCAGCTGCTACAAGCTGCATACACGCGCTTGGACGCGCAAGATAACCGCACCAATCTGCTCACCGGCAGGATCGCTGATATTTACCGCCTCGTCGATCTGCCTTCCTCGGCGCCCCCCATAGATATCGCCACTGATGAGTGTCATGACTTGGCTGCTGGTCCAGCCAATGACATGGAGGATTCGGCATGCTTGCCGATCGTCATCAAGACTCCTGAGGCGGAGGACTCTAATGTTTCTGGTGAGCCGGCAATGTAATTGCACAATACATGTTGTGCCGGCATAAATATGTTTCCCTTGTCATGTAATGTACAATACAATATATACCCACTGTAGTTTAGTGTACATAACAATTTTGTGTCTCAACAATTGTAAATATACCTGTGAATATGGATATCTGCCCACATCACCATGCTTGATTCACCGGCATTGTGACTGGCCGGTCATGTCCTGCCGGCAAGATTAGCTGTCAGCAGCATGTTCATTTCTTGCCTGTTCAATTATGCTTGGCCGCCGCGTACACTGCAATGCAATGAAAATTAAGCATGATATCGCTGCTATTCTGTTGGATTTACTGTCACATTCACCGGCATCACAGATTCGATTTCATGAAATTGTATCTCTACTCATTAGAAGGCCATGGTTACACCCCTGCTCATCAATTTCGGGATATGGTGTCACATGGGCCCACCCGTGTCTGCTGTGTACCTCACATAGGCCAACTCTATCGATCTGGCGTGCATCAGCCCACTCCTGACACCAGAATACACCGCCGGGGCCCACCGGTATGCAGGGGAGCATCTGTATGAGCCCATGCGTATGAAGGGATGGAGTGGGCCCACTCGCTAGCAACAGCACAGCCGCCGGGCCAATGCCTAGTGTGCGAGTGATCCACCAGGCCTGTCCGCCCATCCCGTTGACTGAGATCGGGCCCAGTTCATGTATCAGATAACCGGCGGGCCCGCATTTTAGCAGCATGATGTATTGGCCCGGCCCACCCGTATCACCAGTATCATCTGTGCAGTTTCCCAGGCCCGCTCGCCTGTCCAGTTGATTGCCATTGAGCCCAGCCCATCTGTCCCATCACAGGCGGGCCCACCTGTGGGCATATTGAAATTGGCTCGGCCAGCCCTACACACCACGGAACTGGCCTGGGCCCACCCTTCCATGGCATGGAAGAGAAATGGGCCCAACCCACTTATCGGCTGATGGCAGGCCCACGCTACATGGACATACATCCTGCAGGCTCGGCCATTTCGATGCGACACGTCGTGGGCCCACCCAATCGTTAGAAGTCAGATGTGGGCCCACATGTATGACAGGACAGCGCATCAGGAGCACCCGCCAGACAACATCACCGATGCACGGTGACATTTCCAATAACTCGCCGGTTGTTAATTGCGATCTAGTCGTGATTCGCACCACTGTTTGCCTGGTTGAAAAATGCCCAATTGCTGGTGGTTGTGCTCATTCTAATTTTAGCAATAATTCCCACCCGCTGTTTGTAATGAATTTATCATATTGGGCGCCAGTGTAATTCATCACCGGTTGCAATGATGATAATTGCGCCAGATTTGACATGTCATTCTTGCCTGCCGGCAATCACATGCATGATCCTGGCGGTTGCACATCTTATTTGCATTCGCCGGCACAACTTGTGTTGTTCGCCGCCCCGTATTGCGCTGGTGATCCTGTAGACAGACCTGAAATACATGGGCCCACTCGAAACTCTAGGGGAAATACCTTTCCAGTGTACGATGGGCCCACCTCTAATACAATGTATGCCCATATAGACTCATGTGGGCCCACTGCAACATTTCAATGAATATGTGCAGTAGGCCTACTCATAATCATGGGTTACATGGCATACACAGGCCCATGGTGGGCTGGCCCATGTCACTCGGAAGAAATGTCAAGGTGGGCTGACCATGTTTACAGGGTTAGGTCACTGAAGGGGCTCTCTCATGGAGGTGTTGCAGGGTATCAATCTTATCATCCTGCTCCTGCACACGAGCCTCGAGAATGGCGATGTGAGCTGCACCATCCTGAATAGCGATTGCCATGGAATGGAGATCTGGCATGGGAACATCAAGTGCTGCATGAGGCACTGCGAAGCTCAAAGACGGAACAGCTAAGTAAAAAATAAGGTCAGCTGGTCATTAAAAGTTTGGGTGACTTATGAGCTGGCGCAGGTGCAGGTGCAGGTGCAGGTGTCTTCTTGGCAGTGATGGTCTTGCTGCGACCACGTGACTGCACCTGGGGTGTAGTCGCAGCAGGGATGGCCGGAGTGCGGGATGGGCCATGAGATTGACTACGAGTTCGGGCCCTTGACTGCGAGGGAGATGGAGCATTGGATGGAGCAGGGGCAGGTGTCTTGGAACGCGTCCGACCGGTGGTAGACTTCCCTCGGGTGCGTTTGGGCTGGGATCCCAGAGATGCAGGGTTGCATTTGATCTTCTTGGTGGAGCAGTGGATGCAAGACAAGCAGGGGTGGCTGTTACAGGGATCTGTAACACCTACTAGAGCCCCAGCTCTCCCTACGCCTGCCCCCGCTCTGCTAGACTCCCCGCGCGGCGGTGCGCCGCCTACGCCTAGAAAGACAGCGGTCTGGACCGCTATGACCCCGCCTCATGGCGCTATGACCCCGCCTGATGCTATGACCCCGCCCCTGGCCTAGACGGCCTTGTACCTGTTCCATGGAGGCTGTACGCCTCTTGGACACCCTAGATCAGCGCATGTATACAGCATGTCGCTTCATGAAGATCCGGAGCGCCCTTGGCGCCTCATGTATGAAGACCCGGAGCGCTTGGCGCTTCCTGTACCTATGCGCAGCTGCACTTGGCGCTGCATGTATGATCAGAGGTTAAGCCTCATGTATACTATCTCTCCTCATGTCTGGTTATCTTAGATTACCGATATACTATAGATTACAGACTGAGCTTGAACACTTACTTATACTATGTATAAGTAGACACATTGTTGTAGATTATACTTCACTTTAATCTACTAGGTTCTACCAAGAACTTGCTCATCTAAGCCTAACAAGCTTCCTTGTGTGAGACCGCACTTCATCGTCGTCCCCGTACGACTTTGCACGTATCCGCTAGCCCTGCATCTCGACGAGCGCCGTCTTACCGAGATCGCCGGAGGAATCCTTGACGTTCCGTCAAGGCTAGACCACGCTCAGCTTCAGTAGAGTCACTCGACTCGTCGCTGAGAAGAACTATCCTAGTTCCCACTACGCCGACCTACAGTCGACGTAACAGTGGCCGGACCTCTTGTCCAAATGAGTTGCGCAGGGCCAATCCTCCTTTATGCAATAATGGCAGGGGTTGTTCTGTGGGATCCGTTAGTGGATGGACTAAGGGGAATTAAATGGAGTACTCACTGGGCCGGAAATGGTGATATCAAATGTGGGATTGGCCAGGGGTTCACCATCCGAAGTGCTGGAAGTACCATCAGAGGACTTGACGACTTCTGGACAACTGCCGGAGGTTGCCTGATAAATTGTTAGTATAAATGTGAGTTCTGGGCGAACTGCTAAGACTTACTGGAGCCTCCAGTCGACTGATGGGAGATGTCTAATGCAATTGGCATGAGTGAAAATGATACATGTGAGTTCCGGACATGTCCAAAAGACTCACCATGACCTCCGGACGACTGCCGGCAGTCAGCTGTGGACGCATGAGCATATATTTGAGTTCCGGACAAATAAATCAGACTTACTGAAGCAGGCCCAAATGATTGCTTCTTGGGGGAACCAGGTGACCGAGGCAACTGGGGCGTCCTTACAACAATGGTGGAGAGCTGGGGAAGGACGACCTCCGGCACTCCACGCAAAATCAGCTGCAACAAATTGAGAGCATGACACAAATGAGCCAGACCACATACCTGAACAATTGTTTCTTCATCATCTTCCAACTCCACAAACGGCTTCGACTTGGCGAGTCGAGTTGACTTGACGCACTTGCGACCCTTCATCGCTGACTTCAGAGGTTGGGAGGAGTGTCCAGAAATCATGGGAGACTTCCTCTTGCTGCTCCCTCCGACTTCCGGCTCAAGGTCAACAGCAACCACCTTACCTTTTCCTTTGTCCTGGAACTCGGAGGTCGTCTCGCCGGATGAACCAGCGATGTTGCCAGCGATGACGGGAGGGGAGGGAAGGACAGGTGCAGGGGAAGGGACAGGTGGAGACGGAAGGTTGACAGTCAGTGGGCCAGTGGAAGGATTAGGAACAACAGGGAGATCACAGGAATTGTCACCCAACGCCTCCCAGGCATGAACCTGCTTGTGCCAGGCGTGTCTCGACACCTGGGGGTCATTATGGCCAATGCTGTGCCAGTCGGGCAACACCCGGGGAGTGCTGGAATGCACCCTCATCAGCTCCTTAGAACAGGAAGCCACAATGCCAGGGATGTAATCCCCTTTCTCCTGCGCCTGGATGATGTCACCCTACCCGGATATTAGAAACATTAATGGTAAAATAATTTAATGAGTGCTACTTACCAAAAGAGTGGTGACCTGTTTTGTCAGAGCAAGGTGGACGTCCACTGTGCCGGCCGGGATGTGCCGAGCGCCGGCAATGATGCCCACAAGCTGAGCAGTGGATGCCTTGAGGCCGGCCAATGAGGATTGAACTGGAGTAGACATTTGGATTGAGTGAGAATGTCGAAAGCAGGGTGAAATCTTTTATCACTAGGATGAAGTTTCAAAGAAACAATACAATTGAAGGACAATGTTGAAAATCGTTGATTGTTTGTCTTTGTTTGATTGTGGTTCAACTTTCGGCAATCACCGGCCATGTGTTGAACTTCAAAGTTATCAGTTATCAATCAGTTCATCAGCTCATCAGATATCATGAGCTCTCAACCTGGGGTCAGATTTCATGACCCTCCGGTCACTGAATGCACCTCAATGGATGTGGATGAGTCCTCCAAGTCCTGGATGTCCCTTGGTATGTTTTGTTTTTGTGATTTCATTCAATTGATCGGACATGTTATAGATGTGGTCTGGAGGATACCTTGATTGAGTCTGATGATGCTCCGGCTGTACCTGATTTACCAATGACTGGTGAGTTTATTCTTTCCATCTCATGTTCATTTTTCATGGCATTTCCCAAGTGAATAAATCGACTCCTGAACCTCATCTGGCCAGTCCGGCTGTACCAGAGGCACCCATACCTTGTACATGTATTCATATCATGTCATGTGTTCTATTCATGTTATCTCCCAAGCGAATTCAGCAACTCCCGAATGTCAATCGCCTGAGCTGGCACTCAACAATGAAGCACTGAGTGCCATGGTTAGGGAGTTCATGCCAATCGGATCTTATGATCAAACCAAAAGTAAGTATACAACAGTTGATTATTTATCTCTGCTAATTTTCTGCAAGTTCAAACAATTGTAGATCGCCTGGGTGATTACCAACAGCGTCATGGATATCTTCCTGACCCTACAGTAGCACAACTTCTTGAGGCTGACAGACCATTCAGGATGGCATGGGCTGAAACATGCAACAAACTCCGGAGGATGCAAAGGGTAAGGGAGTCAACCTCCGAAATGCTGAAGATATTAGATACCCTCATTGACTTCTTTGAGGACTCAAGTAACATGTAAATATCAATCAATGTCTGATAGTAGACACATTGCAGTATACTTTACCTACTCAGTACTTGGTGCCTGGTGTTCGGTGCTCGGTACTCGGTACTCGTGGTTCGGTACTTGGGGTTCAGTACTCAGGGTTCGGTACTCGGGCCTTGGTACTCGATATTTGGGATTTGGGATTCGGTCGTTGGTACTTTGACATATACACAATAACACATATGACAGTACACATGAGGGCAGGAAGATATATCTACATTAAGTGCATCCCCGTGCTCTGGTTACTCTAGGTGTACTGTCTACTGGCATTTGCAACTTACTCCGGGTCGTCCTCGTGGATGGTTCAACCGTGACTTTCTTGCCCCGCCTCCTTTTTGGTGCTGGCAGCGTGATACTCTCTTCCATTTCAACATCATCTCTAACCTCGCCGGTTGCATCTTCAGTTAACCCAGCAAGGAGGTCGCCCATTTGTGATGTCAGTAATGCACCTTTTTTGGCTGGTTTGGCTGGGTGAGGCTTTGGAATTGCACGTGGGACTGCCATCCCTTTGGGTGTAGGACCTCCTGTCCTGGGTTTCTTCAGCAGATGTCTCCCGTCAGCCAAGTCATCATCCACATCATCCTCCATATGATGAGTGGCACTCTTCTTATCACTCTCGGCTTCTGTCGACGAATCCCGAGGCCTTCGGATGGTAACCATCTGCTGCTTTCTCACTATACGAGTCTGAGGAGAGGGCGACTTGCCGGATATGACAGATGGTACCATGTCCCCATCTTTGTTCTTCCATGCTTTGAACAGAAATGTGAGACCTTCGCCTGTTTCCTGCCAAGCACGCCAAAAATGGAGCAAGGCAGTCATGTCTCAATTTTGCAGCTTGGAAGGCTCCTTCAAGTCAACATCCACTGGAAGATACGTCCGGGCCACGAAGTCATCCTGACTTTGTATGATGGCACTCCATGGCACAACCGCCTTGTCCTTCCTGGAACATATCCCTGTATCCATGCATTGAACAATTTGTCGGATGATGCAACGAGAAACTCACGATAGTGCAATGTAAGGAAGGCCCTCACTATGGCCTTCTTCTCCTCAAGTTTCGTGTCTGTGATGTCAGGAAGGAATGGCATACCTTCCCCGTCCATTTTGAGTTCAAAAGCTGGTTTTCGAATTCTTTTTCGACCTCCCTTGACCTGACGTCCTCCATCCCGTGCCCCGGCACCTATCATCATGATGCTCAACATGTTCAATCTGGTATACATGGTTCAAACACTCACCGAACTGTTCCTGCACATACTCCTGCCACACTGGCTCAATGTCCTCCCAGTCCTTATCTTCATGAAGCTGTCCCCATCTCCTAAGGCCTCATTATCATCATGCCTGCATGAATATTTTGAGATGAAAGATCTGTGTCAATGGGTAAATGTACTCACATCCCGAACAGCACCTCTCCCTTTTCATTCTTCCAAGCTGACATCACAAAAACTCTCATCCCACATTGCCTCCACATCTCATTCGAAAAGTGCTCCATATATGCCGGACCCTTCTTACGAGTGACTTGTGCTTGTATCTCCAGAGGCGGACAGTTGTTGGACCACTCTTCCACTGTTTCTTTCGCCTTCTCCAACTTGTCGTCGTCCAATTCAGCCATGACTCTCTTCACCACCGCCTGATAATGTTTGAACATACCAGAATCTCCTGGCTTTACCCTGGACTCATCCTCAATCCTCTTCAGTACCTCTTCGCATTTCTGCTGGTAGACCACCATCCTGGGCATCCATTTCCTCCCATACTTGATGGTGTCCTTCCTTTCCTTCTTTTTCTTGTTGTTGAACAACCAAGTCTTGTACACCTAAGAGTTGATGAAAGAATGTGATGTTGAAAATTTAGTTTTTCAACACAACAAAGAAGCATCACCTGCTTCCTCTTTTTCCATTGTTTTTGGTCCACCTTAGGAGCAAACAACCTGGCCACCCTTGCTATGGCAGTGAAAATCCCTCACTTCTCACTCCTTTTGGCTGCAGTCCACTCAGGAAGGTAGTTCTTCAACTCCAAAATCTCCTTGTCCGTGAGCTTCTGCGACTGTGGTTGATGCGCCCTGTGTCTTCCGGAAGTCATGTTGGTGGAATGACCTGTTCTTGCCATAGTGAATCAGAATGCAGAACGGGCTGAGGATTTGCAAGGTGGAAGTATTAATGAATTGTGCGAAGTTGAACTTTGAGCAAAGCCTAATGATCAGTTAATCGGCCCATATTGGACGCGAAGCCATTAATGGAAATAAATTTGTAATGAGCCAACAGGACTGCACAGCATCATATTGCAATAACAATTCATTACACTTGAGCTGATGCCTTGCTTGCAACATTAGTAAACAAGATGAAGATAGGTAGATGCACCCCAGTGCAAAAATCTCACAGGGTGGAAGCAAGGGGCAGCAAAGGTAGGAAGACTTGGGTCAAGGTCCCACTTGCAAGCACAAGGCTGACATGCCTACAGGTCCATGCCTAGCTCTCCCCCAGAATCACCAACAATTCAGCCTGTTGAAGCACCACCTCCTTGGGAAGACTTTCCTGACAATACTTACAAGCAGGATCAAGGCTCATTTGAGCCTTTGCAACTTTCAAAAACCATGGCAAGTTCATGTACAATGTTGGAGTGTCATTCAAACTATGGCTAAGCATTCAAAAATACAGAGTCAAAATGACTACCTCAGGCAATGGCTGCCAAGGCAGGAATCATATCTACATCACCTCCTTGATCGAAAAGCTCCACCAGAAGACAGGAGATGCATCATCTGCAAACAGGATGGGGTGTACAAATGTCAAGATTGTCTTGGCGAGCCACTCTATTGCACGGGCTGTTGCAGGAGTCAACATCATAGCAATCCTTTCCACTGGATAAGTCAATGGAATGGGCGATTCTTCGAGCGGAGTTGTCTCGCTCATGTGGGACTCATCATACACCTTGGCCATGATGGCAAACAATGTCCAGCGGTCACAGATCGGTGGAACTTGTTCGAAGAAGATGAACCTGAAGACCTGCTCGAGCCTGAAGATCTGCCATTTGTGTCTGGACCTGAGTTCCAGCTGAAGGAAAACACCATGGTCATCGTCAACAAGTCCGGAGTTCATCGCCTGGAGGTTGATGCTGTGATTGTCCGAATGCCATGAGTCCGGACATTCAAATGTTTCGACACAGATTTTTCCCTGCATCTTTCAACAGGCCGAAGACTGTGTTCACCTTCAGAGTGCTCAATAATTTTCTACTGGACAGCCTTGAATGTGGCACCTCGGCGATGAACTATTACAGCAAGCTCTGGCGAATGACCCTCGAGCATGTTTCCACACCTTGTTCCGGTAATGCCTTACCCTCTTCATCTACTGGACATCATATTGACAAAGCACATGGCAAGGACCGATACAGAGAGCTCATGAGGGTCGCTTGACAGTGGAGGCAGTTGAAGACAATGAGATGGCATGGCTTTGGCCATCATTCTGATAACCCGAGCACAGGAGAACTCGCATTATTTTGCCCCACATGTCCTCAGCCTGGTATTAATGTGCTGTTGTCAGAGGATGAATCGCTTGATGAGTGAGTCCTGTTCGCAACCAATGTGGCCTCCACAATAATATGAGCGCTCCAAGCTGGAAATACACCCGGTCATTTGTGATGGACGGAAATTTCAAAGCCGAACATCTGCATCCCATTAAGCTATTCAATGAAGTTTGGCTGTCCGATGGGCTTGGATTCATGGTAGGAAAGGACAGGTATAAAATGCATCTGGCAGAGGCTGCTGACACAGTGGAAAAATCAAGCTGCAACAACCACCAGGCAGTAAATCAAGCTAATGCTGCTCGGCACAAGCTGGAGTCCACTGGTATCGGGGGAGTTGCCTGTGTCCGACATGGTTGCTTTGTCCCTCACTCCATGGTGGATTTTCAGAAAGGCAAAAGGCAAGCCACATGCACCATTCCACATTCACGAGTTAACCATGCGTCACTTGCAGACAAATGAACATGGACTATACCCTTTGCGAGGCTTCCCAGCACAACATGGAAGGCATCACCAGGGCCGTCACCTTCTACGATATCAACTGTCAATACAACAAACACTTTCGGGTTCGGGTGGATCGAAGTCAATTTCTAGAAATGGCACCACAACTAACCATCATTCCCGGAATTGGGTTGTGGCATGTTCATGGCCATCAGGACAGCTGCTATGTCCAATATGCGTCTAACTTTATTGAAGGCATTGGTTGGATTGATGGAGAGATCATGGAGATGCTATGGGCACAGCTCAATCTGATTTCCCCTGCTGCTCGGGGAATGTCATCTCCGCACCGAAAGGAATGCCTTGATTATCAGATGAATGACTCCAATTTCTGCAAGATGATTCGCATGAAAAGGACTCTATGCCGGAAATACAAGCTGGCGAGGAATGGCATCTCGGAAAGTGGAAAGGCATTCGACAGACTCAATGAAGCAGCACCCGCACATTTGAAGACAGAATGGTTAGCCAGGGAGAGGATAGCTCAGTCAAGCAGATTGAATGATCCTGCGGCGATGGATGAATATGAGATCAATATAAAAAAGGGTACATTGAGTTCCATTATCTCCATCGAGGTCCAAATTAATATTGCACTCAGCACCGAGCAAAAAGGAGATCGAGCTTAGATTATTAGAGGAGGGTAACGCCCGCAATGCAGCACCCTGTCGCAGATCTGTGGCGACATGGATATCAATGGGGTTGGCAATTGAAGAGGCTCAGATTGCATTGCTTATCGAGGTCCGAAGAATCGGAAGAAGATCCATGGAGACACAGAGATTAGACATCACCCGTCAACACAATCGGCTCCAAGGCCAGATAGATGGATTCACTCGGTCTGCTCTAACACATCTCAGGGAGGGATTTGATGCAGATGATGAACCTGACGACTTGAACGTAGACATTCTCGATGATCTCGATGATGACCCGGCAGATTTCACAGAGACATCTCATACATGGACAAACTCTCCCGAGCTCACTGTAATCCCATTGCCATCAAACCTGGGGGTCGATTGATGCAGACGATGCATGGCAGAGGATCTGATTCCCCTGGAGATGTCGCTTTGTGAAGGGCAGGCCAATGATGCCCTTCACAATCTCCACATTTACCTGTGCAACAAGGCCATCCTGTTCCGAACAACTGTTAGGCAGGCCAAATCCCAGGCCCTGAAAACTCGAGCTTGGTCCCAGGTGATGTTGGTGCAGCAGGCAGTCTCCCTCCATGCCAGCATATATACAAAGACCAGGAAGCAAATGATGAAACTTGAGCCGGGGCAAGACCAGCTTCAGAAATACAAACCCCTGCTTCGCGAGCAACTCAAAATCAGCACTGCAGTGGGCGACCCAAATGCCCAAGGTCAACGAAATGAATCTTTGGCTTGGTTTTGGTCTGTTGAAGTCAACCTCAGGGGTCCCGATCAATCATGGAATGAGGAATGTGAGTTCCTGCTTGCATGTCATATCCTGCGGTTACGTGACGGGACCCATCCCAAGTTTACCGAGTCCATTGGCTGTGGGCAAAGGCACTACGGGATTGATGGAGGGAAGAAATGATATTGGTCAAATTGGAGATGGATTGGACATGTAACTTCTTTTTGTGGAAAGCAACCCAATGGGGCAACCACATGCAGGAATCATTGGAGAAATGCCTTCCAGGTCATGGATGCTATGCCGGAAGGCAATCCCAAATGTATTCATTGCTTGCACAGGATGCACAGGCAGCTTTTCAAGACCTACAGAATGTGTTGATAGAGGCTGGAGATGAATGAATGTTGTTTTCTCATGAAGTCCCTTTTTCCACATACATAATTGAGTCCCAGGAATTGTCTGGGTCAGCCCATGTCGGAGTTTGAATTTCATATCCATCCATCAGTGATTCTTATCTTCACATCTTCACCATCTTTCACTTGCATTGCCAGCGCCACAGTCCTGTATTAGCCATGCCTGCAACTCCTGCATCCACTTCTGGCACTCTGAATGCCGGAAGCCATTACCAACCCCTGAAGCTGAGCCTTGCAACTATTTCCTGCACATTGGCAATGGCTGGATCGCGCATCCGTGTATGCATCTCTCAATATTGGACAGAAGCTGCCAACAATGTTCTATCTTCTGACTGGATCAAGTATTTTAAAGCTGGTGTGTGTGAGGAATGATAGCTAGATGAGAAGGGGTGAAAGGGGGAGAAAGGGTGAAGTGGGGTAAAACTCAAATAGACCTCTGGACGCGAGTATAGATTTCGGCCCGAGGGGATTGCTACTGAGAATGATTCCTCTGAATAAAATGTGAGGGGAAACTCGGAAACTAGTAAGGGTAACTGAGAGTGGAAGAGCGTGAGAATTTGCGCCGATGCGATGCGAGTGCGAGTGAGCCGCCGAAAAGCGCGTTACGATGCGCGGCGGTATAGCCGAGAGTTTGGTGGGGCGCAGAAGCGCGTGGTCAAGCTAAACGAGAAATGCAAAGGTTTTGCGAATGCATAAGCGATGCGGCGTGGCGGCGGAGCAAGGAGAGTGTTTGTCAGTATAAATGATAAGTAGAATGCGAACGTTAATGTGGCCGTAGGAGGCACGCATGCGGTAGAATGCCGAAGGTTTTTGATTTTCAGTCCGAGTGTTGCGTGCAAGTTGGTGGTAATTTTGACATGGGAAAAGGTAGATACATGAAAACTCATAAGTACTAAGTATATATGAGAGCGCGCGAAGCGCTGTTCGGAGCTGAGTAGGTAGCGGTAGTATGTAAACAGGGTCCATAACGCAAGTAATGAGAATATAAATGAGATAGCGTCGGAAATAAAGTCAGTCTAATGCAGATTAAGATAAGTATGCACCAATGGACCGGTGGAGGACATGGAAAGGACATGGGAAGGACGCGCAACGGAGCCAAAGGTAAGCGGATGCGAGCCGAAGCGCGCGCGCGAGTCGCAGCCGTCAGCCAATAACGGAAATGGTGCGCACCGCATTAGCTATAACGCGCGCTATGCGAGGACCTAAGGGACGCTGCAAAAATGGCCTCTACGAGGCTACAAGGACTCCAAGTCCTACACCAGGCTGCAATGGGAGATGAATGTATGTTACCGCTGCCCTGATGACTGTGTTGGTCAATGCTAAGAATTTGAGCAGACTTTTGTCACACCACTCCTGCAGTACTCCGCTTCACAGAATATTGTGTCGGTTCTTCCGGTCCCGGTCGCTTATATCCTTAAGTTGTATCCCATGCTAACCTGGAACACAGTTCCGGACGACGTCTTTTCATTCCACCTCCTTGCATTTGATGATGAGGCAATTGCAGGACATCCGTCCCAGATTGTGTTCAAATATAAATGTCCATGGTGGATGGGAAACACCACAATCCCAGATCAACCATGGCATTGGGATGACATAATGGCTTCCTGCGTCTCTCACTACCAGTATTGGACAGTAAGATGTTAGCTGAATTGCCTTGATTGATGACTTATCTGTTCTAGCTTGGTGTTGAGGATGATGCTTTGGTTATTCCGGAGAAGTTGAAAAACACTTCGAGTCCACCACTGATGGGACTGAGGTGGATTAAAGAATGCATGGAAGCATTGATGGAGGAGCAAGATGAGGGCATCCAAGCCAAGATGGCAGAGGTGAAGATGTACACTGACATGCTAGAGAAATTGAGGAGAGGCAAAGGAGTGTAGTCCCATTCAGTCTTCATTGTATACAAGATGTAAAATATTATAGGCATTCAAAAATCTCACGTCCCAGTCTTGGAAGCCCAGGTCCTGAGTCCCAAATTTCAGGGTTCGGGGACCCAGAGCTCAGCAACCTTGTCGGGTGTCAGGGTATCCGTAACATTGGAGATCGCATGTGTCAGTGTTTCATGTTTCATGGTTCGTGTTTCGTGATTCAGGAATTGGGCGTCAGGGACTCGGTATTCAGAACAGTGTCGAGTCACGAGTCCCGAACCCTGAACCCTGAGTCATGAGTCCCAAACCCCAAAACCCAATGTTCAGGACTCGAGACTCAGAGCTCGGGGTTCGGGATTCGTCACTCAGGACTCGACACTGTTCTGAATACCGAGTCCCTGACGCCCAATTCCCAAATCACGAGCCACGAACCATGAAACATGAAACACTGACACATGTGATCTCCAATGTTATGGATACCCTGACACCCAACAAGGTTGCTGAGCTCCAGGTCCCCGAACCCCGAAATTCGGTGTAGCACTCGGATCGGCGTTGGGCTCGTATCCTGCCAAACTCATAGGTATTCCACATACACATTCCTCGACACTCCATTTACCTTCTGAGAGTTCCGTGTGTTCGTCTGAGTCGTCCGAAGGTCATCTGTCCATTTCCGAGGCCTGTATACAGTTCTGATCCTCCATACCATGTCCCGTCCGTGTCCGTTTGACTTCACTGGTGTGTTTTCCACTTGGTTATCTGTTATTGATTATGTCTAGGGGCACATATGTTGTCGGCCCATCGGTTACACGCATAACAACACACCTTGTGCCATATTACATGCATATCTCTGTAGCGGCTCGCCTCGAGCCTTATTACATTTCGGATGTCTTATCTCACTACTAGTTTCGCCTATGCAGTTTCCGGACTTTCACGCTATAGTATAGGATATGATCTGCCTCGCTAGATACTCGCACTTCACTTCACTTTCCCTGCTACGAGTCATAGTTAGTAGAGTCACTTTCGGATAGTTGTACTTCGCGCTGTAGAGACTCATGCCTCTCATTGTGCAATATGGCAGTTTTCACTGGGGAGTACATGGCACGAACTTGTAGCATCACTCTGTGTGCTACCCGCAGCTATCTCTATATGAGGCGCAGCTTTCCCGCGCAACGCGCGCCATGCGCGCGTACCTTTCCCGCGCTTCACGATGTATATGCGCGCGCGCTTTCCCGCGCTTGAGCGCCCTATAGCGCCAGCCATCCGGAAGCATCCATCCACTGTCCACCAAGTTCCCTAGTGCGTATATTTCCATTTCTCACATTTGCTTATCGTTCCATCTTTATTTTTATCATGGACCCTTACTTACATATATCTTTACATACCTTACTCGGTAGCGCTTCGGCTCCGCATGACAGCGCTTAGGCGCCATACTTAAGCGCAAGCAGTACATACTATTGGGGGGACTCCCAAAAAACTTACTCTCCCACCAGAACGACAGAGGACTTACTGGTTACTACCCACTATTCACCTAGCAGAACATAGTAGAAATCTATTTGTTTACACCTCGCATCTCCCTTCTCTTGTCTTACATCATATCATCACTTAAGCAAACTCACTCTTACTCTCTCTCATATCTGTATACACGCGCACGCTTTCCCACGCTTCGCGCCATACACGCGCGCATTCCCGCGCCTTGCGCGCACCTGCGCTTTCTCGCGCTTCGCATTGGCCAACCAGTAGCGCTTTCAGCGCATACCTCTAGATCCTTGCTGCACTCGCTTCCCCTTTAGGGTCGAACGCACTTGTCGTCTCAAGTATAGCAGACTAGGCAACGCACGACCTTACAACAATTATAGATACAGTCAGGAGCATTGTTCGTGCCTCGCTGTATCGTTGAACCTTCAACTGGAGCCCACCGCGAGGGGAACAGTCAGCAAGATCTAGTTCTGCACATCTTCGCGTCTAGCGCCATTTAGCACATATAGGTCAATCTCTTTGCATTTTCACAAGCTAACCATTTTAGTCGCGCTTTCTCGCGCCTCGCGCGCGCGCCTTTCTCGCGCTTCAATGCCTTATAGAATGCCCATCCGTGGCACGACGAACGCGCCCAAGTTTGACTGGCACTACAGACAACCTCGCCGAGTTCATTGACGCATATGAGCAGCTCGCTGATGAAGCAGGACTCCAAGGACTCGACCGCATCAAAGGTATTATTCGCTACCTTGAACGCGATGATCGAGAACTATGGGGAGGCATGCCTGAAGCGGCAGTAAGCGATTACGACGCCTTCTTAGATGAGGTGAAGGTAATGTATCCAGGATGGGATGGCAAGAGACGCTACGCACTCGTGGACTTACGCGCCATCACGCGAGAATACGCTAACAAACCTATGCCCTCTTGCACCGAACTAAGCAATTACTTGCGCGCATTCAGGAAGGTTATGCAGCCACTTATGGATGAAGACCGTATTGGAAAGGCCGAACGCGACCGCTTATTCATGGAAGGAATCCCTAGAGATGCTCAGCCGCAAATTCGCTTGCGCCTTATGATCAAGTTCCCCGACCACTATCCACACGACCCATATCCGTTCATGGACGTCTTTGCAGCTGCACAGTTCCTATTACCTGCGCGCGCTTTTCCCGCGCCAAGCGCGCCAGTTAACGCGCCTGTAGTAGTGCCATTTGCGAACTTAGTCCCAGCGACTGCGCCAGCGCAAGCACCGGTGCAAGCCATGGTAACTAAGCGCAAAGATCAATACTACAGCGAGCCGCGCAACGCAGGATACGTCCACTAGCGCTAGTGTGACAGCCGGACTCTTCTATCGCGCATCCTCAGATGTTGTACTTGACAAAAGGCCACCAGTTCCTATCCTTGCGCCTCGCGCGCACGATTTTCCCACGCCTTCGCGCGATTCACGCTCGCCTGAACCATCAACTGCGCCAGCACACAAAGCTATACCAGACTGCATCGCTTTAGATCACGAACTCGAGCGCGCGCCCGCGAAGCAGCAACCAGAAGCGCACTGCATGCGCCTCTTTGCCCCCATCATCATCTCTTTCTTCACCTGTTTTGCATGCTGACAATTCTTATTTGCTGCCCATGTCAGCATCAATCGCATTG